TTTTTTTTTTTTTTTTTTGCTAGGCAATCAGGGTTAAGACTTGCCCAAAGTCACACAGCTAGTTAAGTGTCAAGTGTCTCAGGCTGGATTTGAACTCGGGTCCTCCTGATTCCAGGCCGGTGCTCTATCCACTACGCCACCTAGCTGCTCCTCCCAGTTACTTTTAAAAAATGTTTTGCTGATGCATCTTTGTTTTCACATAATAATCACACCTCAAGAATCTGCCCCCCATCTTCACTGATCTTTCTTTACCAAAGACATCTGTTCAGCAAAACCATCTGATAAGAAGATTGTGACTGGTGAAGCATGGGACACTTGTGGCTTACCATTATCAACAGAGAGGAAGAAAAGAAGTGTTTCTGAACATCAGGCAACCGAAAAAAAAGATCCTGTCGTTCTAATCCATTGGCACTCTCTTGTCTTCAAGCACCTCGTTCTAGTCCCTGGGTCTTCTCCCTGCCTGCTCTGAACCGAGGCTTTAATATTTCTTTAAATTCCTCATAGCTGTCATTTCTTACAGCATGCTAATGTTCCATTACATTCCTATACCACAATTTGTTCAGCCACACCAACTTATGATCACTTTATTTCCAGCTTTTTGTTTCCATAAAAAGTATCACTGTGAATATTTTTATACATAAGGAGCTTTTCTTTCTGTCCCTAATATTTTGGGATGACAAAGTCAAAGGGTCTGAACAGTTCAGTACGTCGCTCCAAAGTGTTCTCCAGAATGGCTGGCCCAATCCATGGCGCCATCACAAGGCTCCACAGCTCCAACAGCATCGACTATCTCCACCGTTTATCATCTTTCTCACTCATGAGGTGATGAGGCCACCGCCCCCACCCCCACCCCCACCCCCAGCTGTTTAATTGGCATTTCTCTTGTGATGTGGAGTGTCTATCCTATGGCTGTTGATACTGGAGGGTATCTAAAGAGGGGAGCAGGATGGTGGGAAGCCTAGACCTGCCATCATCCTAAGGACCAGTTAAAGGACGTAAGGATGTTTCACCCAAAGTGAAGACTTGGGCTGGGACCAGGGATGTGGACAAGGGATCACACTTGTTCCGCTTGGTCACAGAGGGCAGCCCTGGGAGTAAAACGAAAGGCTGCAGAGAAACAGACTTCACTCAAGACCAAAGAGAGCAAGAAAAGCTTCCTACTAATCAGAGCTACCCAAAGACGGAATGGGCTTCCCCTCCCTGGAAATTTTCAAGAGGAGGCTTTGTGCTGACTGGGAGGAGATGTCATGGGCAGGATTTCTGCTGAGGTTCAGGTTAGCTGGGATTTTCAATAAGATGCCTTTCACCTAGATAAGTATATGTGTCAGTCTCCTCTTATCTCAAGGGTCCCTTACAACTGTAAGAGATTTTGAGACCAAGATGAGAATGACATAAAATGCACTTGTGCAGGCCCAGGCCCAGGCCCGGCCCTCATACAACTCAAACAACACGGACCTGCTTCCTCCCTGGCAGAGGCTGATGGTTTGAAAGAAAATGGGGGGAAAAAAAACAGTCGTGCAGGTTGCCCAAGGAAAATAATTGTTCTCTCCCCGTGGCTTCCCCCCGTTATCTTCCTTCCTTCTGTCTGTAATCCTCTTGTCTGGTCTCATCACTCCCTTCATAGTCAGATAACAGTTTTCACAACCAGAAAGAGGTGGGAGAAAAGCATCCCCACAGGAACAGCCTGGTCCTGGGTCCTCCACACAAGAACTCACATTTGGATGGTTATTTGAAAATTTGCCAAGTCTCATCCCAGCCGTGCAAAGCAGGTAATGCCTGTATCACTCCCCCCATTTTATAGATGGATCACACAGTCAGTGTCTGGGGTGGGATCCAAAGCCAGGTCTCTCAAAGCCTGGAGAGCGCTAATTTACTATCTGACACGGTCCTTTTATTATCCAACTTGTATGGGCCATTAATCAAAAGGAAACTATGAACCGAGAAATTTTCTCCTACCTCCCAAAGCAGTCAGTACTTGTTTAAGCTTAAAATGTAAACTTCCCAGCATTTCAGGATTGGATCCCTTAAAGGATCATGGACCTTTCTGCTTCTCAGGCACGCAATGACAGGACACATTAGAAATCATTTTCTTTCATTATACTGTGTTACCTCACCTCTCCCTGGAGTAAATTCAAATCGGATATCATTAAGTTCTTTCTTTGAATTCCTGTGAAAGAGAACAGAAAACGAATTAAAACCAGAATGTCTCCATCTGGATACACACAGCACAAGGCAGTCAGCTTTGCCCAGAAAAGCCCCTCTCCCTTCCACCTCCGCTTTCTCCCTGGGGCCACCGAACACCCCGGGTCTGCCTCTGGGGGACAGCAAGCTCACTCCCACCACTTGCAAACGTTGATTCATTTTGAACTTCCAGCCTTCGATCCAGGTGGGGGGTCATTTTTACAAAGCAAGGGGGAGCACACTGTATGAGGCACAAGAATCATGATTAGTCTGGTGCTGGGCAAGAATGCCAGCACCCTCTCGAGGTGACTCCCCAGATAATTTCTATTCACTTAGGCTTATCCTTAATGTCACTTGCTTGTTATGGTCATAGAAATACTGGCAAGGCAGGTCCAGACCAGGAGTGTGGCCTGGGGAACGGTGGCTCCTGCTTCTCCCTAGCGTGAAGGGCTCCTTTGAATCTCTTTTTCCATGGAGCTGTCATAGAGTCAGATTCAGAAGCTCTGAGTTCAGGTTCCAGCTCTGATATTTACTAGTACTCTAACTCCAGGCAAACCCTGTAACTTCTCTGAAACTCAGTTTCTCCCTGTAAAACAGGGATAATATTTATACTACTTACTTCTTTTCACAGGGCTGTTGGTGAACAGTTATGTATCAAAGTGAGCACCGAAGGTAAGTCACTTGGCCCAATGATCACAAGAACTAGCAAGTGACTTCAAGACAAGAAGAATTCCCAGTGAGCACTGCAAGGTACCCGAGGATCAGCTAGCCTGCAGAAGAAGAATTAGGAAGGCCAAGCAGTTCTTGGTCCCTTCCTCCTAACCCACCCAGATCTGCCAAATAACACACGAGACGATCGACGTTCCGGAAACATGAGTGAAGACAGGCTAACTTTCCCTCTGGATTTCTGTGCTCTGCACTTGAGCACGCGATTCTTCTGACCCTTTCTTGAATCACTGGAGTTTCCACGGGGGACCATCTCGTTTTCTCATCTATGCCGTAAGGCCCCAGGAGCGAAGCCCAGATTGGCCAGTTTCATTGTATCTGTCATCACATCTGGTCAGCAGGGCTGGCTACAGCCGCCTGGTCAATTCCTCAGAATGTCCAATGTATAAACCCCACTGGAGATGTTAACGTGGAACAGTAAGGCTGCTTTGGGACCCGGAGTCCCTCAGCACCCAACGCCTGGGGAAGTCAAGTCATATTGCTTTCAGTGTCTTCTCCCCCCAAAGATCTAATGTAATCCTCATTAACTACTGCAGAAGTCCAGCCCGTGAGCGGACAGAAGAGAAGTGGATGGAGTAACAGTTCCCAGTAATGACGGCGGAGATCCCGCCAGGTGTTGGGAAGCAGGGCCGTCACAGGCTGTGTGGGGGCAGCTCTGCTCCTGTGTGGAACAGATCACGGACGTCCCCTAGGAGCCTAGGGGCTCACTCTGCTAGCATCTGCACTGCCCGCGCAAGAAGAAAGGGCGCTGTTGGTAAATGAGTCGTTAAAGCGTCTCCGACAGGCGAGACCTTCTTTATCCGTCTGTGGGGGAATCCTGAATCACTTTTTCTGCAGCAACCACAGGATGAATTGTCTGGGGAAGCGGACGCCGTGGGAGGAGGCTCTAGAAATCTACCTCCTTCATGGGGGCAGCGGGAAGAACGAGGCCCTGAATTCGGATCCTCGGCGCCGTTTGCTCTGCTCCACGACACCGAGCCAAGTGCTTCTCTTACCTGGGGCTCTGCTTCCTTCTCCATAGGAGGGGTTGGGTCAGATGGCCTCCAAAGGCCTTTCCATCTCAAAGTCTTGGGACTGGAGGCTTCACTACCAATCCCAAGGGGGTACACAGCCCTGCAAACTTGCCAAGGCGCCATGGGCTAAGCACCGACGACGTTCAAGGCACTGGGAATCCACAAACCAAAAGCCCTCCTCCCTGCTCTCCTGGTGTTTCCGATCTAAAACAAGGCATTCCCGTAGAACAGAACTAAAGTGTCCAGGGGCCACCGCTGGAGAGCTTGGGGTAGGAAAGCAGCCCTACTGGGAGATGGAAGGCCCCAACCCGACAGCAAGAACAAGGCCAGAAGGCAGGCAATCTCTGGGCTCGAGGAACACTTGTGGCGGCTTCACTCGGGGATAAAAAAAAAGAACTCAAGTCACACGTGGCTGAGTTCAGTTTTCCAGTCAGTCTCTGAGAGCTGATACACTATAGCCATTACAAATGTATTTTTTACTCCACATGAACAAACAAAGAGCGGGGTTGTCCTCGGCCACAACAAACTGAAGCAGAGTGAAGAAAGGCCAGCCCACCCTGTGACTTTCTGCCACCCCAGCACCTCTGTTCCCGTGTCCGTGGGGCCTCCTAGGATGTCAAGGAGCCAGGTTGGTGGCCACCCCCAGAGGCTGTTCCAAACTCCCGAGGTAATTTGTGGAGAAAAGGGTGGAAGGCACATGTCCCCAGTAATCTCTGACCAACGGGATATTCCTTTTCTACGTCTCTAGGAACAACGCCCCCCAACCCCACTATTCTTAGGCTCCTTGGTGCCAGTGAAGCCAAAGGTGTCCAGTCTGCCCATGAATCGGCCCCACTGGGCTCCCCTGTGGATGATATGCACCCATGTGATGGTCCTGGGGAGCAGGGGCGATGCCCACGGAGGAGCCACTCCTCCAAGCACACCCTGCTGATCCCAGGTCGGGCCAGGAGTCATCTTCCTCCTGTACAACAGGCAGCATGCTCCAGAAAGGAGGCACTCCCACCTACCTCCACCTGCAAGCTTTTAGAGAAAAGGGCAGGGGCTTCAAAGAAGCAAAGATCAACTTACCTTAATCTTAGTACCAGACTTATGGGGACCTTGGTCTCCTGGGAACCTGCCCCTTCTGATGGCAGAGCCTAGGGAATCATATTCAAAAGGAGAGTGTCATTTCCTACCAAGCCCCAAGCCCCAAGCCCTCCGATGAGTCTAGGGAGCAGGGGAGCTATTTAGCTAATGATCAACAGCCCAGTTTTTAGCTTCAGGCTAGTTCCCCATTCCCCCAACACTCTTCTGGACCTCTTCCTATAGCTTTCGGAGGGTAAGTGTAGGTGGGAGCTTAAGGGAATTGAAGGTAAGCCAAACATAATTAGGGAAGCCCTTTTCCTAGGAAAAGAAAAAAAATCAAGTCACAGAGTCTCAAGTTTCAAAGGGACACTGGTGATGGGGCTGTGGAAGGGATGCCTTGGCTACTTTCAAAGAATTTTTATTCTGGTCATGCCAATACGCCACGTACACAATAATCCCAATATGAGGCAGAATGTGATCAGAGCTATAATAAGGGGGCTTGGAAGGTAAGAGAAGGGATCACTTTGGGGAGAGAGAGCAAGGCGGAGGGCAGGAAGTCATCATGGAACCTCCATCACTGGATGGAAGCCTTGAAAAACAGGCAGGATTTCAGCAGACAGGCAGAGATGGGGAAGACGGAAGATACGGCCCAGGGGAGAATGACAGACAGAAAAGTAAGGTTATGTTCAGGAAATGACGGACTGAATACTGGCCAATACGGCGGGCGGAGTGCGTGTTCACCTTACATAAGAGACACAATTCTCATCAAGTCACCTGGAACAACAGAGGAGTACGATTATCTGTGACTTTGGACTATATGCTGGAGAAATAAGTAAGTCACAAAGATCTCTCTGGATAGTCTCATTTTGTGATGTGTGTGTGTGTGTGTGTGTGTGTGTGTGTGTACTCATATGTATGTGTGTAATTCCAGGAAAATTGGCTACAAGATAAAATCTGTCTTTCCAGTGACTTACAATAAGACTAAAGGGGGAAAAAATCTTAAAACAGAATCGAAAGCTTTTGATGTTATATAAAGAGGTTAAGATATAACCAAGCCTCTGCGTGCCAGGAAGTGCTCTCAGAAGCGTCCCCTCTGTGGTCTCCATCTACGGCCCAGATCTTCCTCAGATCAGGCCTTCTGTGCTCAGGGAGATCTTTCTCCCTTTGGGCACAATTCTTTCTAATGGAATCAAGCGGCCAATATCACAGCCAGCTGGTAAGTGTTTACAATCTGCTTTACTTTATCATTTATCAATTCAAAATTCATAACTGAGTTTATTTAAAATAAGGTTAAAAATTTCATTTGCATAAGTAGGGATTTTAAGGTTAATTTCTAGTAAGCAAAAAGTATCACAGACTGGAAAATAATATTGTTATTATTCATAACAATAATAAACACAAAAAAAAAAACCAAACAGAAGAATTGCTCTGGGTTGGTGGATACTGCTGAGGTGGGCAGAGTGTGGCGTGGTTTTCAGCATGGGGGAATCAACCAATCGAAAAGCCTTTACTAAGTACCTTGACTGTCCCAGGCACTATGCTAGGCACAGGGGATACCAAAATAAAAATCTGCCTCATCCGCCAGGATCCTAGGGTTCCCGAGTCTAGAAACACAAGAAGTGTAAAGTACTTTACTGGTGGGGAGAGGACCCCGGGCAACCCCGGGGAAGCAGGAAAAGCCTCCTGAAGGAGGTGGCAATGTCCACTATGCAAGTGACCCTCGAACGAGGAGAATTAGTTCTTCAAGATAAAGTCAGTGGCAATTCAGAAAACACACAACTCACTGACCTTCCAAGGGCAGGAAGGAGGTGAAAGTGGGACAAAGGAGACGATACGGTCACCAGACCCTGAAAACAGAGGTAACATGGCCTGAGACCACAGAGCCACGGCCTGAAGGAAAATGAACCAGAGTTCTTAATTTTTTAAAAGTAAAGCTCAGAATGGAGACTATATGTCAAAGTTTACTGTTATATTTTGGGGGGAATGTTAGCACTAAATTAATTTATAATCGGGAAAAATATACAAACTGGTGAAGAAAGTCCAGGGTGGTGATCACGCTGGAGAGCCATTTGGAACTAGGCCCAAAGGGCTACAAAACTGGGCACAGTCTGTGATCCAGCAACAGCACTGCTAGGGCTGTATCCCAAAGAGACCAAAGAAAAAGAGAAAAGGACCCATGTGTACAAAAATATTTAGAGTAGCTCTTTTTGTGGTGGCCAAGAACTGGTGCCCATCGATTGAGGAATGACTGACCAAGTTGTGGTATACTATTGTGACAGAACACTATTGTGCTATAAGAAATGACAAGATAATTTCAGAAAAACCTGAAAAGACTTACAGGAACGGATACAAAGTGAAGTGAGCAGAACCAGGAGAACATCGTACAATGAATAACTGTGAATGACTGAGCTCTTCTCAGCAACACAACGACTCAAGACAATCCCAAGGACTCATGATGAAAAACGCCAGCCACCCCTGGAGAAAGAGCTGATGGAGTCTGAATACAGACTGAAGCACCCAATTTTTTTCACTTCATTTATGCGTTTGACTTTTCTTTCACAAAGTGACTAATATGGAAATGTTTTACTTGATTCCATATGTATAACCTGTACCAGACTGTGGGGAAGGAAGGGAGGGAAAGAAGGAGAAAATCTGGAACTCAAAATTTTAAAAAACAAATGTTAAAAATCAGTTTTACATGGAAGTAGAGAAAAAATAAAATAATATAAAAAAGTTAAAAAAAAAAAAAAGATAAGCCAGGATGGCAATTTTGCTGGTGCTGTTTCAGGCTGAAAAGTCCAGGTGGGCAAGGCGTGCATGGGTAGGCCCTGGTGCAGGGGTGCTGGGCTGCAGTCTGGCTCACACTGACTGGTTGACTACACCAAGTCTGCTGGATCCCCCAGGATGGAGGATGCCTGGAACAGAGGGCTACCAGGCTGCCTAAGAAGGGGGGAACCAGGTGAGAAAATGAAGCAGAGTCAAGTTTTCATGGAGCCTGAGAGTGGCTGCTGCAATTCCAGTCTAAAAATAAAAAAGGCTAGCACGGCATTTAGAAAGAGCACCAGATCTGCAGTCTGGGGACCTGGATTCCAATCTCGGTTCCCTATTGGCTACCTGAAAGGTCACTCTCTGGGCTTCTCGATCCTCATCTGTACAAAGAGGAGGCCAGACCAGGCAACCTCGAAAGCTTTTTCCAGATCTAAGCTAGGCTCGTAGGGAACATTATCTATACTGCTTCTACTCCATCAATCCCACCTGCGTCTTAGTTCACTGAAAATAACGCACTGCTGTTTTAAAGATGATGTGGAGGAGACATGGAAGCAGAATTTCCTCCGACCAGAAACAAAAAGCCTCACTTCGCAGGCCAGTCACCATCTTGCTCTGCCACATCATTTCCCCCAGAGCGTCCATCCCTGAACCGCTTGAACAGTAACACTGGACATCCTTGTTGATCAGCACCGCACTGGCATGCTGTGCTAAGCTGCAGAGACGACATCAGGGGTTATCTCAATCTCATCTATTTCTTTTTTTTTGGCTAGGCAATAGGGTTAAGTGACTTGCCCAGGGTCACAGAGCCAGTAAGTGTTATGTGTCTGAGGCTGGATTTAAACTCAGGTCCTCCTGAATCCAGGGCCGGTGCTCTATCCACTGCGCCACCTAGCTGCCCCAATCTCATCTACTTCCGCTGTCGTTCTTGGCACCGAGGGGCCGGGCCAGAACGTCTGCCGTGCGGACGGAGTCTTGGAAGCCTCCCCCTTGGCTTTCGTGGCGGTTCAGCTCCCTGCCAATCCTTTCTTCCTCTTATATTACTGCTTTCAGGTTGCAGACATCATCGCTATGCCCTCAACTCTTGGAGCACCCTCACATCCTGAGCTCCAGTACTAATCCCCCTAATCAGGAGCAGCATGCTTGCTCACTGGCTTCCTAAGAAAAGTAGCTAGAAACTTTGTGGCGTAAACTAGTCAAAAGGAACAGGAGCATCTTGGCCAAGGCAATTTTCAAAAAGTCCCAATTCAGCTTTACTGCCCTGAGCTGGGCTCCTGAACTAGGTGTGAACACCCCCCAGCAGGAGAGAAGCAGCTCTCTCCTGGCTTCCCAAGCAGCTGCTGTTTTGGACGAGAAAGCATCAAGGAACAGGTAGCTCAGAGTTATGAGCAGGTATAGAATTCACTCCAAGCTCTGGGACCTTGGAGAGTTCCTTTCACAGGGTCTTGGACTCGGAGCTCAGGGATAAGCTAGGCCAAGCCTTTCACTGCACTGAGGCCTAGAAAGGGCCAGAGACTGGCCCACGCTCACAAACGCAGTAAGGAGCACGTCACTCGGACTCCAAATTCCACGTCCTTTCCACAGAAGCATCCCTCTTCTGTACCACTATCAACTCCAAATGAGTATACTTCTCTGAAGGGTTTCGGGGGAGCCCTGTTACTTGGGGAGAACATCTACGGGGAAACCCAGAACCAGAAAGTGACAAGGGCCACCTGGTGTGACCGTGCATCTGTACGGGAATCCCTCATACAGGTGTCACCAGTGAGGGGGAGGTTCACAACCTCAAAGCAGAGGCCGGACAGCGAACCTGCCTTCCCTGCAGCTTCCGCCCATTACCATTTGGCGCAACAAGGAAGGACTGCAGAGGCCACTGTCACCCTTCCCCCAACCTGCTCTCCTTCGGGTAAGCCCACCTGGTGGCCCCTTCCCCACCCTGCTGGTGCTCCTCTGGATGGCATCCCTTCCTGAAAAGGTCCCCCCAAACAAATACTGTGCATCTTTACCTGCCCTGCTCCTCCTGCTGGAGCTGTGGGGACCTGTACAGGTAGAGGGACAGTGATGTGAGTGGACTGGGCAGGAGTCTGTCCAGCTGGCTGAGGTAGTTGAGCAGGAGACGGTCCTGGAATCTGGAGTAAGGTGCCCATGGGATCAGACGGAGGAAAGAGCTGTAACACAGAAATGTGGGCACGAGGCTTCGGTGAAGGGCCTAGACAAGTGCATGAGCTTCAGAATGGGCAACAGCTGCAGTGTGATGGTGGCCAGGGTGCCTCCCAGCTTCTGCCTCAGCATGGAGACCACCACTCACCTCCCCTCACCCCAAAGAAGTAAACTGGTCTCTAAAGGAGGAGTTCAAAAAAGATGTCCACGCAATCATGTCTTCTGCACGCAGCTTCCTCCCTTTGCCTGAGAAGCCACATTCTCTTTATTCCAGATTTTCCAGCCAAGCTTTCCTCAGTAACTGAGGCAGCCCGGCCCCTGAGGCCCATCTCGCCTCCAGCCCTGACTCAGAAGCCAGCTCACCTCTCCTCAGCTAGTCTGGCATGGTGATGGGCACGGCAGAGGGCAGGGCCAAATGGGGGGGCCCCAGGCTAGATGGAAGGCAAGGAGGAAGGGACATGGGAGAACGTGGGGACTACGTTATTAGATCCTAGCTTGTCAACATTATTAGACATTTAGATCTCCCTCCAGCAATACTGGTTCTAATCTCAGAGATTTATCACAGCGAAATAAAGCAATGTAGGAATAGAGACAAATAAGTTGTTAAAAGGGAAAAAAGTCAATTGGACAGAGCTAGGGGCCTGAAAGCCAGATTTTTATGACATGAAACAACATGCTGAGATCTAGAAATGAAGACGAGACAGAATGGTTGGTGCAATGTGGCCTCCACCCCTGAGTGAGTGATGTAGAGACGTACTCACCAAGCACAACAGGGCAGTAATTAGGAGATGTAAGACACCCAGGCAAGAGCCAAAACACAGCAACCTCTTGGGCTGATTTAAGCTGGTGAAACACTCCCCACCCCAGGCAGCCCAACGGACAGAATTCTGTCCCTTCATCTGCATGTTTTCTCCAGAGACACCTTCAGATAAGCGGTGCAATGGCTGCGATCTACAGTAAGCATTTTCTTGGTCTAAACTTAAATGTCAAGGGTCTCCGTTCTGATTCAGAACAGGCTTCTGCAACTGCCTCCACTAATGCCCCCTTTAAAGCACAAAACCAATTAGGAAAACATTGCAAACACATACCTGGAACACGATGGTTTTGGTTAAGTTTGACCAAGCCAACTTACCTCAGAATTCGTTAATGGTTCCTTTACTCGAGGAGACTAAAAGAGAGACAAAAAAAGAAACCTTATCTCAGAAGTTAGAACAAGGCAGGCCATTTACCTTCAGCCCCAAAGTACTGCCTTAAAATACACAAACCAGCATCACTAAGAACGGAAACAGAAAGCTAAGTTTCTGAAATATTAAGTTAGATATCAAATATCTAGATGAACTTTGGCCCAAATCAAGTGATCAAGCGTGCCTCCCATTTGAGGAAAGATCTGTGCTGGCTGACGAGACTCTTCCAGCACACACTTAGGCACCATTTACTCCTGCAGCAATAGCATTCAACTACAGCCTGGAAGAGAAACATCGCTTTTAAATAGATGGGCTAATCCAATTTTAAATAGTATGAACTAAAATTCTGATTCTAATAATTGACTGAGAAATGATTTCCTCAAGAATACTTGTACCCCAGAGTAACAGCAATAATACTGTACAGTCATCAAGTATAAATGGCTTAGCTCCTCAGCAGCACGATGATCCAAGACAATTCCGAAGGATTCATGATAAAAAAAAATGCTCTCCACCTCCAAAGAAAGAACTGATGGAATCTGAATGTGGATCGAAGCATATCATTTTCACTTTCCTCCTTTTTTGTGTTTTTTTTTTCTTTTTGGTCTGTGTCTTCTTTCATATGATGACTATATGAAAACATGTTTTGCATGAGTGCACATGTATAACCTGTACCAAACTGCTCACCATCTCAGAGAGGGGAGAGTTGAGGAAGGGAGAAAATTTGAACTCAAAATTTCTTAAAAACGAATGTTAAAAATTGTCTTTACACATATAAGCAGGGAAAAATATTAAAGATTATTTAAAAAATAGAATACTTGTACCCCATTTTAAACTGTGAGGCTGAATAAGGAAGCAAAATGCATCCTCACTCTCAAAGCTGTGTTCTTTAGCTGAGATGCCGCATCTGTGAGACCCTAAGACGGCAGCTACTCACCCTGAGCTGGGAAATGGCTGCCCTCCCTTCCTCGCTTTCTTCATCAAGCTCATCATCACTCCACTCCCAGCCGCCATCCTCTGTTTTATGAAGCCGGCCGCTGGAGCCTGGCACTCTCCGAACCTGCTCAGCAGAGAAGTAAGACGTTTGTTCTGTTACTGTGGAATATTTACTGACACGCTCTCCGTGAGAGGACAAAATCCAACTGATTCTTCTTCCTAGCTTCACTACATTCTTTAGGTAGGCCTTTCCCCTGCCTCCCCTGAAGTCTCCCTGTGTGGCCTTCTCCTGCTATGACAGGGACCCCAGGTTCTCAGAAGCTAGGCTGCTCAGCATCATCCAGCTGGAAGTGTTGAGTAGAGCCCTGGGGAGGGCCCGTCCACAGAGCCAGCACTCTCCATCCTCGGGTGTCTGTCTTCCACCACACCGAGAGGAAGAGGACCTTGGAGATCCTACAGAGGATGGAAAAAGGAACGGAAAGCAACAGTCCCCAGTTAGGAGACGTTTCTGACTAGAACTCCATAAATACACAAAGTCTACAAAAGTCTGTTCCAATAACAACAGTGGTTTCATCAGCGCAGTCATTCTTGAATGACCGCGTGCACAAACCAGAGCCAACTGGAGCTGGTGCACAGAGAGCCTCCAGAAGGGGGCGGCATGATGCCACCCTGCCAGTCACCGGGGGCTCATGATGCAGATGAGCTGTCACTGAACTACTTGCTTCATGTGAACACGAAGCATTAAAACTTGAACAATTTCTGTGTCCAAGTTAAAAGTGCCACAATATGCCATATTTCTCATTGTAATTTATTTTGGCAGATACAGCATAACAAGCTGGTTTCCAAGACTGCTATGATTTTACCAAAAACGGAATAACTTGAGAATGGTTATAACTGCCTGAAATTTTCAACAATTAAACTTACATTTGTCTCAAATTTCTAACACCTGGACTACTGCGACAGCCTGCTTGGGGCGGGGGGGGGGGGGGCGGCGGGCGCAGGGCGCTGCCTGCCTCAAGTCTCTCCCTGCTCCACTCCCCCCTCCATTTAGCCGGGAAGGTGATTTTCCTAAAGCACAAGTCTGTCTGTGTCACCACTGGTCCCTTCCCTACTCAATAAACTTCAGTGGCTGCCTTGAGAATTGAATATAAAAGGCTCCATCTGGCATTCAAAGCCCTTCACAACGCAGCCCCCTCCTATCTTTCTAGTCTCCTTACATCTTACTCCCCAAAACGCACTCTTCAACACAGTGACCCAGGTCTCTTGGCTTCTCCGTTAACAAGACCTCCATCTCTTGACTTGGGGCACTTTTCCTTGGTTGTCCATGCCTAGAATGTTCTCCCTCCTCATCTCCACCTACTGGCTTCCTTTAAGTCTCAGCCAAAACCTCCTTATACGGGAAGCCTTTCCCATCACCCTCTCCCTTAATTCCAATGTCTTCTCTCTGTTAATTTTTTCCTATTCATCCTGTAGGTAACTTGTTTGTATATATTCGTTTGCATGTTGTCTCCCCTATTATATTATAAGCTCCTTGAGGGCAGGATATATAGAAATGCTGCTGATTTATGTGGGTTTGTTTTATATCCTGTTACTTTGCTAAAATTATTGTTTCCACTAACTTTTTAATTGAATCTTTAGGATTTTCCAAGTATATCATATCATCCTCACAAAGAAATAATTTTATTACCTCACTGACCATTCTGATTCCTTCAATTTTTTTCTTCTCTTATTGCTAATATTTATAATACAATACTGAATAATATTAGTGACAATGGGCATCTTTTTTCCACTTCGGATTTTACTGGGAAGGCTTCTAGCTTATCCTCATTACAAATAATTCTTTTTGCTGGTTTTAGGTAAATGCTTCTTATCATTTTAAGGAAAAATCCAGTTATACCCATGCTTTCAAGTGTTTTTTTAAGAGGAATGAATGTTGTATTTGATCAAAAGTCTTTCTGCATCTGTTGATATATTCATATAATTTTTGTTGATTTTAGTTATTGATATAATCAATTATGCTAATAATTTTTCCTTAAGGTAAAACCATCCCTACATTCCTGGCATGAATCCCATTTGGTCACAATGTAGAATCTTTGTAATATATTGCTGTCGTCTCCTAGCCAGTATTTTATTTAGGATTTTTGCGTCCATATTCATTAATGAAACTGGTCTATAAATTTCTTCGTTTTTTGTTCTTTCTGGTTACGTTATAGTGTATTTGTATCATAAAAAGAGCTTCTTTGCCTGTTACTGGAAATAATTTATTTCATATTGGAATTAACTGATCTTTAAATGTTTGGTAGAATTCACTTGTAAATCTGTCTGATACTGATGCTTTTTTTTTTTCCTTAGAAAGCTCATTTATGGCCTGTTCAATTTAGATATTCTATTTCCTCTAATGTTAATCTAGGCAGTTTCTATTTTTGTAAATATTCTTCCATTTCATTTAAATTGTTAATTTTATTGGCATATAATTGGACAAAATAATTCTTTTTAACTACTTTGACTTCATCTTCATTAGTGGTACATTCACCCTTTTCATTTTTAATACTAGTGATTTCATTTTCTTCTCTTTTTAAAATCATATTAATCAATGATTTATCTATCTTACTGGGTTTTCTTCAATAAAAACAACTCCTACTTTTATTTATTAATTCAATGGTTTTCTTACACTCGGTTTCACTAATCTCACCTTTAATTTTTAAGATGATCAACTAAGTGTTTAATGGGGGATTTTTAATTTGTTCTTTTTCTAGTTGTTTTTTTTTTTAAACTGCATACCTAATTCATTGGTCTGCTCTTTTTCTATTTTACTGACATAAACATTTGGAGATACAAATTTTCCTCTGATTGATGCTTTGGCTGTGTCCCACAGGTTTTGATAGAATGGTCCATCTTATTAAAAATGGCCTATCTTTTACTTTGTTTCTTCATTTCTTATTCACAAGTCATCATCCATAGCAAACAGCAGCCTGCTTACTCAGACTCTATGGCTTTTCACTATTGTTTGAATGGTCTGTAATTTTATTTCTTCTATAATCCTTAAGAAGCAATGTGGTGTAACAGAAAGGACACTGAACTGAAGAGACAGGAGGCACCTGGGTTGGAATCCCACCACGAATATTTATTAGCTGTGATCACAGGCAAGCCATTTAATTTCTCTGAGCCTCAGCTGCCTCATCTCTAACATTTCATTTGCAATAATCCCTGTGGTACCTACCTGTACTTCATGGAGCTGTTGTAGAGATGAAATGAGCTTATATATAGATATACATATATATATATATATTCCTTGGAAAACCTTAAAGCATTACATCAACAATGGCTGTTATTAATCCATACTTTGCATCCAAGTAGCGAGAGGAATATTGATGTTTAAGAAAAAGTCTTAGAGGGGTCAGCTAGGTGGCGCAGTGGATAGAGTACCGGCTCTGGAGTCAGGAGGACCTGAGTTCAAATGTGCCCTCAGACACTTGACACTTACTAGCTGTGTGACCCAAGTCAAGTCACTTATCCTGGATTGCTTTGCCAAAAAAAAAAAAAAAGAAAAAGCCTTTTGGAGAAGTGAAGTTTGAGGCTGAAATACTGAATTCTTTCTCAAATGCTTGCTGTTTCAATCATGTAACCCAGGTCACCACTTCCTCTTCCTTAGAATTCAGGCCCAGAATCTGACTGTTCTGGGCATCTCGTCTCCTGAGGCAGAATGCATCCTCTCCAAGCAGACTATCTTCATAAGTTGCTATATCTGAAAAAAATTCATCACCCTGATGCTAAGTCTCTCAAACTCTAACAGATATATTCCAGGCCATTTCCCATCTCGCTTGGAGAACTCAAAGCTTTGCTAAGCTTGGCTACACTTGATGAATTTAAGGACCACAGCCAAGCCCTGACCAAGTCTTTCAATTTCAGATCCCTCATGCAGAGAACAGGGATAACCACACCTATGACATGTGTGTGCCCTGACAGAACTGTTAGGAGGATCAGATGAAGACCCGCGGGTGACAAAGCCTTCAGGCAGTGCAGAAGCTGCAGCTGCCATGCTTTGGGCCCAGGTGAATCCCATCTTTGGACACTGTAAGCTGACTGCTGTTTCTCATTTAATAGAACTGAAGGGCTCCAGAAAGGCCAACACTGCTCTGATTTTCAAGAAATGGACCACCATGCAGTCTCTGAGCTATAAGCCAGTGAATTTAACTTTAATTTTTGGCAAAATTGTTCAAGATCCCAGTAAAGGGATGGTCAGTAAACAATGAGAACAGGATGCAGGGGGCCACCAAGAGCCAACCTGATTTCATCCAGAAGAGGCTGGGCCAGAGTACCTCGCTCTCCTTTCTTTTTGGCTAAGACCACCCAACCAGTGGATCAGAGAAATGCTCAAGACAGGAGCTTATTTAGATCTTAGCAAAGCATTTGACAGAGTTTCTCATACATATTTCTGGAGAAGAGGCAGAGAAATTCGAACTGGACACAAATAAAATTAGATGGACTGGAACCGAGTGGGCAGTAATCACACCCCAAGAGCAGTAATCAAAGGTTCCAACTTAACCAGGAAAGCGAACAGTGGAGTGCTCTGGGGACCTAGACTAATCTCAGGGTTAGTATATTTATCAACTGCTTGGACAAAGGCCAGAAAGGGTGCAGATTCCACAGAGGCATGAGGGAAGTTGAGCATGATCAGGATTAAAAAGGATCTTGATAGGCTAGAACACTGGGTCAATTACAGACCTACGAGATCAATCAATAAACATTTATTATGTGGGGGTGCAGTCAGGAAGACTCGTCTTCCTGAGTTCAAATCTGGCCCAAGACACTTACTAGCTGTGTGATCCTGGGCAAGTCACCTCACCCTGTTTGCCTCAGTTTCCTCATCTGTATAACGAGCTGGAGAAGGAAATGGCAAACCACTTCAATATCTCTGCCAAGAAAACCCCACACAGGGTCACAAACAGCTGGACATGACCGGAAAAAACAACCGAAAGAGTTGGACTACTTTCACGTTCTGAGATTCTGTAAACACAGTCGTCTCTAGGCCATGAGAAGGCATCAAAGCAGGGCTTTAGCAAAGAACGGGCGACCACAACTCAATTAAACCTCTTAGAGGTATTTCTACTCATTAGACTGCCTCTGGATAATCGAATGGGTTTCCCAAACACTTGGATTTCTGTAAAGGAACAACCTGGACTCCTGGAGCTCTCCCATCCTTCCGTTCTGGCCTCCACGGCACAGGCTGAATGAGTAAGATGCCGTTCTGCTGGAATCTGGGCCATGAGGCCCTATCTCTGCAGGGCTGAACCATTTTAGATATACTCTCTGAGTACCAGCGCTATCAGTCTTTCCAACCAACCATAGAAAAAGTCGGTAACACCATGAGGTGCTCACCCCAACAACCTTCTAGCCCATTTCTTATTCTACTGCGGTCACATTTTGCCTGGATCACTATGATGGCCTCCTCCCGCTCCTACTCTGTTCCAGCCCTGAACCTCTTGGGCCTACCTGACTCTCCTTACATCCAATCACATCCCTGAAGGTTCCTAAGTTCCGCTTCGTGGTTCACTGCTGGGGCTGCAACCAAGCAATCTTTCTCCTTGTGGGAAAAATCCCATTACCTTTTGTAGTAGGACCTTTCAATTTGCTAAAGGCTCTCTTCCCAGCAACGGCCTTAGAGAAGAGGGAGGCTCAGAGAGGCCAGGGGGCCTTCCTGGTGTCACACAGCTACTCAGAGTTGTTCTGACTTTAGTTCCCCAATCTATCCGCCATACAGCACTGCCCAGTTTGAGCATGGAAATTAGAATTCTGAAACAGAGAGGACTTTCTGTTCCTTGCTCTCTCAAAGGGTTCTGGAAATAAGCCAAAGAGGGAGTGTGATGTATGTGGAAGCCTTGCCCCCACTGGGCCCTTAAAGCGACACCCCAACCCTGAGCTCAGGCTCACACACTTTCTACTGAGTACCAATGTCAGAGACTCTTCCAGTCCTTCCATCACAAGGAGCTCTCTGGAGCAGCCCAAGAGAAGATGCCACTTTGCCAAGCCTACTGGCTCTAGATGAAGTTGTGAGTTACTCTTTGGATTTCAACCAATGTTTTGGGTTGAGGTTAGAAGACTGTTTCTAACACGACTTTTCACTGTGCTGTAAAAAGGTCTCAGCTCACAAGCAGGAAACCATTTCAATCCATAGATTGCTAGAAATAAATGCGCAAAGTGACTCGTCACTGCAACAGAATGTTGCATAGGCCGATACATTCCAAGCTATTTTCAAAGTGATAACGGATGTGTGGAGCAAGTACAGGGCGTGGTTACCTTTTTAGCTCTCTCAGTAATGGTTGGCGCTCTCTGAAGCATTTTTTCTTGGAGAAATTCTTTATTCTAGAAGGTGAAAAGAGATGATTTTTATAATTCTTATTTTTTAAAAAAAAACAACCCTTGTTACTGAATCAGGAGGTTGTTATTAAAGTATTTTGCATTATTACAGCATGATGTATTCATCTATTTATCCAAGTATGAGAGAACTTTCAGTTTTCCCCTCCTACTAATTATGTAAGATTGACTCGCTCATCTCTGGTCCTACATATGTAGAAATCTGTCATGCTGAAATGCTTATTATGGGACACACCAACACCCGAGAGAAGTCGGGGGAAATCACAAATTCACTTTTCAGGTCGACAATATTTATCAGGCACCCACAGTAGAGTGGACTACATGCAAGGATCTTCACGAGTGCTGGGTTAACAAAAGACCATCAGTTCCTGCCCCTAAGGAACTTACATTCTCCTGGGGGGAGTTGGAGAAAGAAGGGGAAAGACAGGACACCAAAACAGATAAGCACAAAGTATACACCGATAATCCGAAGGACTGGCAATCTCACTGGTGCAGCCATTCCCACCAACAAGAAAAATCAAAACCCAGCACGTTTTGGGAGATATGTTTCTCGGGAAGCAAGGTGGTCCAGCAGAAAGAACCCCATCTCTAACATGTACTCCCTGTGGCCTTAACTTCCCTGGGTCTCAGTTTTCCCAATTATAAAAGTGAGGAGGACATACTAGGTTTCTGAGGTTCCTTCCTGCTCTGGATTTAGGATTCTGAATCTCCCCATCACTCTCCTGACACCCTATTCTTTCCCTCTTTCCCCTCCACTACCCATTCTTTATCCTCACTGCCGCCCCCTCTGTTCTCCCAGTCTGTGACCGCTGCTCTGCACTCACTTTCCTTCCTTTTCAGTCTTCACCCTTTAGTCAACTAGTTCCACTTTCCGCTGTCTTTAACCCTAGAGCTCCTTGCCCCTTACCCTATTTCTGCTCACGGCAAAGTTCCTCCCACCTGCCGTGTTGGCTGCCACTCACACACAGGCTGGAAGGAATCACACCATGTGGGCAGGGCCATGACACATTTCCACTGCCTGGTCTTAATCTACTGATGATGCTGATGGGCTGGGATGAGGAGGAGGACGACAGCCAGCATTTACAGAGTACTCTACGGTTTGCAAAGCGCCTCATACTGTTCTCTCATTTGACTGTTGTGAGGTGGGCGCCATGATCTTCCCCCCATGTTACAGATGAGTACTAATGAGGCCCTTGCTACTGCATACCTACTCTTCTGCTCTTTCAATGCCTCTGATGCTGTGTCTGTCCCGGTGGGCACATGCCCATGTTGGTGCCACCATTAGAATGCAAACGCCCCAAAGGCAGGACTGTCTCACTCTGGGCTCTGCGTCAGAGCCCAGCAGAGTGCCTGGCATAGGGGAGGCACCCAAAAAAGTTTGATGGTTGATTCAACACAAAAATAAAATTCGATATTCTGTAAATATCAAGCTTGCTGCCAGGGAAGAAAAGCAGAGCCAATGTCCTCCAGAGGGCGTGGGTGTAGGCTGCTGCCTAATTTTGGCTGGAAACTCTTCCCTCTTTTTTAAATTTGCTATTCGGAGGTCTGGCTTGCCGGGGGAAAGCAGGGGGGATGGATACATTTGAGAATGGATCACTCTCAATGTAAAAACAAAATACGTCCACAAAAATCCAAAAAAGCCTAAAACCCACCCAATTAAATGAGGGCTAACACACACTCACGACCAAGAGCGAGTTTTTCCTACCTTTGCTTTCTGGAAAAATTTGTGTCTTAACAGTTCAGCTGCCGTTGGTCTAAAAACAAGACGAAAGGTTACATTTTTTAAGTAAACTTCCATTCCGCAGCCAAAAGAAAAGGGTCACTTGTGGCCCAACAAAGTTCGGCCTGAGGCCCATCTGCTCCCCCACCCACCCCAGAAGGAAAGCAGAACTAAGGACGGGACACAGGAGCCGAGCTGAGTGCTCTTCTCTGGACCATGGCTCAGCCACTCTCCCAGAGCCCAGAATCCAGGTGCTGCCCAGTCAAAAACAACCCCTCCCTCTGAATCGAGCTCTTCTTAAGAAAACCTCAGGTTGTGCTCTGTGTGGGAAGGGATGGGGGGTTGCTCCCCCAGGACCCCGACACCCAGCAAGAACAAATGGGTCTTTTCTGTTGAATAAAGGGAAATGACAGAGCCAAACTTTCCTTTCCTCTCGATGCATGTGACCATAGTTCCTTTCTGGCGACACTGAGTGCCCAGGCTAATTAACTGCCTTCTGCCCTTTGCCCCTAAAGCCATTTTTTTCCTTTCTGGCGCCCAAACACTAAATATTTTACTTCACTAAGAACCAGGTAAACACGTTGGGACAACACTCAGCAGGATAAATGATATAAAAGAACCTCAGCATTACTAATTAGTATAAAAAGAAAATGTTTGCGAACAATGGTAAATATTTGTTGTTAGGGTTATCAAAAGTGGCTCAGTGGAGAGAGTGAGTGCTGAACCAGAAGTCACAAAGAGTTCAAATTTAACTTCACTTACTTACTAGCTATGTGACCCTGGGCAAGTCACTTAATCTCTGTCTGCCTCATTTTCCTCATCTGTAAAATGAGGATGATAATAATAGCACCTACATCCCAGGGCTGTCGTGAGGATCAAATGAGTTAACATACGGAAAGGGCCTTGCAAACCTTCAAGCGCTACAGAAATGCTACCCACTGCTACAACCATTATTATGGTTATTTTTATGAGCGAGGGACAAGTATTGGGGAAGCAACACAGTCATTGAGCTGATAGGTTCAGAAAAGAAAATGATGTGTCTTGGGTTAAAAAAAATCAACCTCAAAGAATTGTGCCTAGAAAACACTTACAGACACAGGCATCTCTAACGGGTCTCTAGTGAAAACCAAACGAACACACTGTAATCGTAGGGGTACTGAAGTGATGCAGAGAATATGGCATAGGTACACATATGTTGTTTAACACGCAACAGCAAGTGTCTGGGCTAGTACACCATTAATTAGTCCAAGCGAGAACACAATTGCTGGGGAAAAGGAAAGATTGCCGCTGCTCACTTAGTCTGGCCTCACACAGCTATCTAAATTCTTTTCACCTGTTAAAACGTTAGTGCGTAGCTGTAAGCGCTAAATGTCCCTTTGGAGCATGGGTTCCTTTTCATCAAGATTTAAAATGTCCACCAGATCTTTCTGCAAGTGCCACCCTTCAAGCTGCATGCTGCATACCAGGCCTCCTGTCCTGCCCACCCTGGCCTGTCCCTGCCCCATCTCCTCTGCTGCCTGTCACAGCTCTCCAGGCTTGGCGCCACAAGATGTTCTCACAGGTATTGAGGATACAACAGTCAAACCGAACCCCAGAGTGACCAGAAGAGAGGGAATATTAATTATACAGAACTCATGCATCCAATGTTTCTGTTGCTTGGGTCCAAAACCAAGTTACGTTTCTGCATGTACCAAATGACAACTAGATTTATGTCTAGAGACCAGGCAGCTCAGGGCGGTATTCTCCTAGTTTAATGAGACGGTCAGTCTCTGGGGCCCAGAGGGCACTCCTGCCCTTCAAAGATCGCTGGTGTCCTTGGGGCGCACACTCCCTCCACTAACACCGATCATAATCATCCCATAACGTAGTAACAGAAACAGTCTTTGGTAATTGCTGGGGCCAGAAGAGGGCCTCCCTTGGGGCCCGCTGACTTGGCCCGGCTCACAGCTTCTCCAGGTGCAGAAAGCACTCTACTGCATGAGCCTTTGAATACTCAAGCTCACCTCCCTGACATGATGAGGCACCGAGGAAGGACGTCAGTGCAGGTGAGCTATGTAATAAACGCACAAAGAAGCTGCCCAAATGTGTGCATGTGCGTGGGTGCGTGCACGCACATGCAATCTAACTTCAAGAACAACCTTCCAAACTCCAAGTATTACATGAGGAGAAAACTTTCTGGTCCTTGTTTTACCTTTTCTCAGGATCTTTTTGAAGGCACAATGAAATCATTTTCCTAAATGATTTTCCATATTTCTTTAGCATTTCTTTATCTTGAACACCAGTTTCCAAAGAAGGAGGATCATTCTGTAATGTCAGCATTAACACCTGAAAGAATTAAGTCCATTATAAATTGCTAGAGGACCAACCGATTTTCAGTAAGACTTAAGAAAAAGTATATTCCATATAAGCAGTTACCAACTGGCAAATGGACTGGTTTCCCAAAGTTCTTCTGAATAAATTTTCCCACTCAAGTGATGGCAGATTTTCCTGCCAGTCCACCAATACCACCCCCTTCCCCTAATCTGCAAACTTCTACTTCCCAAAGGGGGCTGACTATAGCACCAAGAGCAGCCTGGTTTCTGGAGTCTGGGGAAGTAGGAGCCAAGGACTGGGAAGAGGTTCTGGGGGCCCAGGTAGTCTTTACAGCATGGCTGTGAGGGTGGGGCAGGGGAAACTGGGCAGGTGACATGGTAAGGTGACTGCTCAGACAGCTCAAAATAAGGTATGTTTTCAGTCCTCTGTTGGGCCAGCAGGGCAAGATCTCAAAAGAAGGAATTTTATCAGGAAAGGCCAATCCTGGCTGAAACAAAGACCTGACAAGTCAACAAGGCCACCAAGCTTTAACTAACATTTTCTGACATCTTTGTAGGCCTCACCTTTCCCAGATGGAAGGAGAATTAAGACTGAGCCATTTCTTACTTCTAGTCCATCCCACAGGTTGCTGTTCGGCCTTCAACTGGAGGCCTTTGGTTATAGGAAACTCCATTAGAAAGTATTTTTCACTGGAACAAAATTTATCTTCCTGAAATTCTACACCCATTGGCCCCAGGTCTGCTGGTACCCAACAAAACATGTCCAAGCCCTCTTTCCCAGGACAACTCTTCAATTATTTGAAATCTTCTCTTTTCCAATCTCAACATCTCTAGTTCCTTCAGTGTCCTTCTAACAAGCAAGGTTTCTGATCTCCTTACCATCCCAGCCCCCCTTCCATGGATGCACACTAGTTTTTCAATGTCATTCCTAAATGGCAATGTCTAGAACTAAGCATATTCCTCTAGCTGTGCTGTGACCAGGGTAGAGAGAGGGCAGGGCACTGGGAAGTCCCTTATTCTGGACAATATGATTCTCTTAATGCCACCCCTAAAGGGCAGCATGGAGTACCGACAGGCCTTGGTCCCAGCTTGGACGTGGGGGTGAGAGACAGTGAGGAATCCAGGATGACACCTAGGTTGGGAGCCCGAGGGCCTGGGAGGGCGCTGTTGCCCTCTACATTCCTGAACATGGAGGTGGTGCATCTGTAGGTCATGGCAAGATGAAGAGTCTGGCCATCTTTGTATGTGGCTGAGGCGGGGTGAAGGAGTAACGTCATGGTGTTTGAGGGAGTCTCAATATGTACGCTGAAGTCTACAAGTGTGAGAGGAAGAGTTGGGGAGAAAAACATGAGCCAGGTATGGCACTCCCTGAGGAAAGGGAGTGACCTGAAGGTCTACAGACAACTGCTACCAGGACTTTGAATGGATGGTAGAGATGAACAGCATGAATTTCAAAGGAGAGGTTACTGAGTGGTAGAGGTCAGTGGGAGAACCCTAAAGTAGCAATGGGGAGCAAGAGTGTTCCAACTCTGTTCCAACTCTCCCATTCTGCCCAGTGAGCCAAGAAGAATGAGTGAAGGTGCAGCCAGTACTGGAAGGGTGGCCAGCAAGGCTGTGTCGTCGGGGAGACAGGTTTCCATAATAGCCAGAAGATGGAAAGAGTGGGAGAGGAAATGACTTAAGATGAAGGGAATTTTGTTGCTTATGGAACGGGCACTCCAGAGGGCACAGTGAAACGGCGGGTGGTATTTGGTTGGATCTTTGGCATGGGAGGATTGGGGGAATGGGAATGAGGAACTGGGGAGTAGATGAGGGACAATGAAGTTTGGATGACGGTCTACAACGTTCAGAATCCCCGGAATGTGTAGGGCACGACTAGATGTGAGAATGGCAGAGTGGAAGGGGCCGCTCCTCTGACGATGGGGCTGGAGACAAGTGGAGCACAAGATGTAAGGCCCTGCTTCACTACTCCTCATCCCTCTGAAGGCTGGAGATTGAGCAGGGCGGGGGCAGCAGGAGAGGGATGGAGGACCAGCACAGCATGAGAAGGAAGCCTCTTTCTCTACTGACTTTTCCTCTTCCTCGTCCCTCAAGGAAGTCCTGAGGTCAGAGGGAAAGCTGCTCCTCCCTGCACCACAGCCTCTCCACACCCGGGCTGGGAAATCAAGCTGGCAGCAGGAGGTGGGAAGTGCCTGGTGTTGGCCCACATGGAAGTCACTCCACAGGCCCTAGTAGCCTTCCTTCAAGCACCTGAGGAACAGGAGCCGAAAGGCAGGAGGTCAGAGGAAGGTCTGGCCTGAGGCTACAAATCAGGCTGGCGAAGGGGGAGGATGCAGCCAGGTGAAAGGTGAACTTGCTGCCTCCTGTCTTTGCCACAGGGGGCCTTGCTTATAAGACTCTGAGCTGAGAACAGTCTGCATGGACAGAGCCAGTTCTCACTGGGAACTCCATCAGTGACATCACAGTCTAGAACTCCCTTCCTGCCCCCCCTCCCAAAAAAAAGGCCAACTCTAAGTTTTTAATGTCTTTTTAAACTGCATCGTCCTTCTGACTCCTTCTGGCTTTCAAGCCCACTCAAACTCCTGGCTCTTTGCCCTGGTGCAGCTTTTGAGCCCAGTCTACCCTCTACTTGCACAGGTAAAGCCTAGGAGGGAGGGGGGCCTCCCTACTGCGTCAGCCTCTCGAGCCAGTCTTGGAGCTAGAGTGTGGCAACCAGTGCTTTAGCTTCAACTGGGTTAAAGCTATTTTTAAAAAGCAATATACATAAAGAGAAGTCTTTATTTCATTCTATCAACAGGGAGTGTGCTCTTCAGGCTCATGTCCTGGTTTATATAAAGCAGCTCTCTTAAGGAAGAGGGCTGTTATATTTTCAGAAAAACTGGACAACAGTGAAATCAAGAGAGGCCTGTTACTACTACTGCGGATTTTAAAGGAACTGCTTGTAGTTAAAACGTACTTAGTTAGCCGTGTGTCTCAAAACACTCTGAGAGCAGAGACTTTGTTGTTTTGTTTGTTAAATGTTTGGGGGAACCATATTTTGATATAGTCAGTTTGCGTTGGAATCCCCTATTTTACAGATGATAAAAGATTTGAACTTAGGTCCTCCTGACTCTAGGCCCAACACTCCAGCATTCCTTAGGCACAGAAACATCCCACCACAGCCACGTAACTGCCGGGCTCCTCCTTCGTCCCTCAGTCTCTCTCAGGAGATGCTCCTGACCTTCCGTCCACGTGGAGTGGCTTTGACAGGCAGCAGGAACACTCCATGGAGCCCGGGGCCCAGTATAAATGACCTCGTGGGCAGAGTTCCCAGTGATTTTGTACAGCAGTCAGACCAACTGACAGCTGCCACAATGTATTAGCTGCCTGTTCTCTCACAAATGCTCCAACAAATGTCATGTTCCTGGTCAGCTTTACCGAGGTACGATGCCATTATTTGTCTGTGGGCTTACAGGCTTGTGAATTGGCTCACTGGCCTTCAAACCAACCCCAGTGGTCACTTCTTGTCCTCAAGGGCAGGGACCGTATTTTCCACCAAATGCAGGGGAAATGACATCAAAATGGTATCACTGTAGGAGGGCTGGGAGTTAGCCTGATTTTGTGGCAAACAACTGTCCACCACAAGACTACTCATGAGAAACCAGGCAAAGGGCGGCCTCCAGCCCCAAACCAAAAAGTACACCCCGCACTGTGCAACATGGGATGGGCTCCAGATTGGACTCTGTCCTTCCAACCAAACTCACGAATCATGGCAAGCAAGGACCTTCACCGAGGAGTATCTGGGAGCTCCGCTGCAAGGTGAATTATTTCAGATGAGCAATGCCATGTGCCAAGAGCACAAGTCACTGGGTGGGCTTCTGACATGAGGCTGACTCAGAACATCTGACCCTGACCAGCTGACGCTGGACCCTGAGTCAGCTCTCTGCTAGCCGGATGTGGGGTTTGGGGCCACTTCAGAATGGCTACGCCGCCAAAGGAAGGGGACTCACCTTCATGGGCGGATACTTGTGATAGGGAGCGGCCCCCGTGGCTAGCTCGATGGCAGTAATTCCAAAACTCCAGATGTCGGCCTTGAAGTCATAACCACGGACCTAAAAATAAGAAGAGGAATGTCACTGGAAAAAGATCATGATGGAACCAGATGAAACAAGTCAAAGGTTCTTCAAAGACCTTCCTGCTGCTTTCTAGGTTGAAATACTGCAAAATCAGGGCACAAATGAACTGGAGACAACATAAGCTTCCTTCTTTGGATACCGGCTACACCCTCTAATACCTTAAAAGAGGCGTGAACTGGGAGCAAAAGTCTTTCTCCTAGTCAAAAAAGAATAAAAATAAACCTAACAATCTAGGCACAGGAGGAAAGGGGTGGAGAAAGGGGGGGGGGGACAGAGGCAAGGAGGAAAGAGAGAGAGGAGAGAAGAAAAAGTGAAGAGAAAGGAGAGGGAGAGAAAGAGGGTGGAAGAGAGAAGGGGGGAGGGAGAAGGGGAGGGACAGGGACAGGGGGGAGAAAGAGAGGGAGAGGGAGGCTGGGAGAAGGAGAGGGGAAGAGAGACAGAAAGACAGAGACAGAGAGACAGAAAAGAGGTCTTTCTTTCTTTTCTGTGTTCCACCCTCCCCCCACCCTTGATTTAGAGGACTCACTGCTGGGTCCCCTCCTCACAAGGGTGTGTGGTCTTAAAGACAGAGTAAAGGCATATAGGCTGGACCTTTTTGTCTTGATCCCCTAATTCATGCCAATCACAGTGCAGGTCAGCTATTACAATGAAATGAGCCCAAATCTATTTTCTATTTCAAACAGGATCAGCTGCTACCTGCTCTTGTGCACTCAACCTGTGGTTAACACTACTTCCCAGTAATTTCCATTGAAAAAGACCATGGGGCATGCCCTTCGACCCAGCAATACCACTATTAGGTCTGTATCCCAAAAGAGATAAAAAACAAAAAGGAAAAGGACCTACCTGTACAAAAATATTTATAGCAGCTCTTTTTTGGGGAGAAGTTGAGGACATGTCCATCAAATGGAGAATGGCTGGACAAGTTGTGGTACATGTTATGATGGGGTACTATTGTACTATAAGAAAGGCTGAGCAGGATGCTCTCAGAGAAACCTGGAAAGACTTGCATGGGCTGATGTAAATGTACTGAAATGTACTAAGTACAGAGTAACAGCTGCATCACAAGACGATCAGCCGTGAATGACTTAGCTGTTCTCAGCAATCCAACGATCCAAGACAACTCTGAAGGACTTAGGATGAAAAATGCACTCCATCCCCAGAGAAAGATCCCATGGTGTCTGAATACAGATTGAAGCAGACTTTTTTTTACCTTCTTTGTTTTCCTGAGTTTTTTCTTTGTCTACGTTTTCTTTCACACCATGGCTATTATGGATATGTTTTGCATGACTACACATGTATAACCTACATGGGACTGAAAGGGGTGAGGAGGCAGGAAGGGGGAAAATTTGGAACTCAAAGTTTTAAAAAGAATGTTAAAAATTGCTTTTACATGTAACTGGGGAAAAATAAAGTACTAAAAAAAAGAATGAAAGAATCATTAGGACTTTAAAAAAAAGAAAAAGAACTTGGCAAATCACCTTCTGAGGCTCAGACTGACATCTACTATTAGTATGTGCTCACTCCTACAGTCCTCACAAAAGAAAAGCATTTAACTGACCATTTTCCAACCAGTCTTCGTTATCTAGTGATATCAGGGGATGCTGAGGCAGTAGGCTACAGAAAGGTCCTCTAAGTAGTTCTTCCTTCCCCAACTTGTGCCAAAATTTTCATTATCAAATAGAAACGCCACCATAGCTATGAACCACTCTGCAGTCTCTCTCGTTTATTTGGAATCCAAACACTTTAGAGCTGGAAGGAATCTCCAAAGTCACAAATCCATCCTTCTTCCAAACCTCCTTATTTCTGTCAAAGCCTCACTATCGTCCTTGGCCTCCGGGCTTCCACATCATCTTTGACTCATCCCCCTCTCTCGTCCCCACCAGCTGCCAAACCCTGCTGGCTCCTCCTCCCCAGCATCTCTCGTAAACGACCCCTCATCGCCTCTTCCCTCCACCACTGCAATGGGCTTCTTAACGGGTCTCCCCACCCCAGCCCATCTCACACACTTGCTTGCCAAACAAAGATCTGACCACTTCACTTCCCCATTCGATCAATTCCAGCAGCTGCCTTTTGCTTCTAGGATCAAATAAACAGTGAATCACACTGACTCCATCTTGTGACTCAAGTCTGAACCCAGCTCAGTTCCCTTTCTAGTACATTATGGGTCAAGTCCAATGTCTGTCTTGTAAGAAAACTTCATTCAATTATGGGAATTGTGAGAAAACTTTTTTGCATCGTTTGAACCTATTCCTGCACGGCTGAGAAGTTGACCACCTCTAGCTGTTGTTAAAAGACCCTTAACTAAGGACCGAGGTTATGGTGACCAGAAACCTGATCAGATCGGAAGATTGATGCAAGTTTTCTCACGATTACACATCTCAGGAAACCTATAGGTCTTATCTGAAAACTGGCTCCATAATGGTCAATCAGTTACTGTTTCCCCGTTCCTTTGATTGAACACAGACACTTGGAGGGAGTGGGACACCCTTTTTTTCTGATTTCAAGGAATTACATGTTTGCTCTCCTCCTCCCAACTTGGAAAGTCTACTTAATCTCTTCCCCAACTAGAAATCAGATGATGTAATCTTGTATCCTGGTTTCTATCCTGTTAATTGTTTTCTCTTAATGCATAAACATCTGCCTCCCCCTGTATTCAGGGGCCACTGCCAAGCTGAGGAGGCCTGGTCACAATCTGTCATGCAATTGGCATGCTTAGTTTAATAAATCAAGATGTTTGGAAGCTGGAACCTTTGCTTCCTCGGTGATTTCAGAGTTCACGCATCACAGTATGGGTTTTACGGGCCTTCAGGACCTGATCCCAGTCTCTCTTTCCTGTCCCACTGGATATTACTCCTCCAGCCCTCGGCATCCCAGACAAGCTGGACATTATCAGTCTGTCACACAAGACATCTCCCAACGTCACATCTTTGGCCCAGCCAGCCCTCGTGCCTGGAAGGCACTGCCTCCTCACCTCTGCCTCTTCTCCTGGCCTTCTCCCTCTTATCCCCGAGATCTAGGCCAAGGCCTGTCGATTTTACCTCCGCAGCATCTCTCGAACACACTCCCTTCTCTGCTCTAACACTGCCCCACCCTGGGACAGGCCCTCATCACCTCACCCTGGACTATCGCAATAACCGCTTGGTTATTGACGTCTGCCTGCCTCAAGTTTCTCCCCACTCCAGTGCATCTTCCATCCAGCCACTACAAAGCACAGGTCCAATCATGTCACTCCCCTACTCAATAAACTCCACTGACTCCCTATTGCCTCCAGGAACAAATATAAAATGCTCTACTTGGCATTCAAAGCCCTTTGTGAGGCAGCCCCTCTCACCTTCCAGTCTTCTCATACCTTCCTCCTCAACATACACCCTTTGATCCAGCGATACTGGCTTCCTGTCTATTCCACAGACAAGACACTCCATCTCTTGGCTCTGGCTGTCCCCTTCCTCCACTCTGACTAGGGGCTTCCCTGGCTTCCCAGCTAGAATCCCTTTTTCTCCAGAAAGCCTTTCCCAACCCCCAATTCTAGCTCCTTCTGTCTGTCAATTATTTCCTGTTTATCCTGTATATACCGTGTTGGTATATATTTGATTGTTGTCTTTCCCATTAGACTGTGAGCTCCTTGAGGGCAGGGACTGCCTTTTGCCTCTCTTTGTATCCCCAGCTCTTAGCACAGTGCCTGGCACATAGTAGGTGTATGATAAATGTTGATTAATTGATTGGTTCATCTAAGTCTTCTCAGGGTTTTCTTTATTTTTTATCACCCCAGAGAAGATGTATCAGAATATACCTCCCCTCCCTTGCTCCCAAAGGTGAGGACCTACGGAAGATCCTGAGCATCATGGGAGACTTAGTTTATGTGTTGGTTAATTTTGCTGAAATTTCTCTCTTTCTTTTTTTATTTATTATAAGGGACGGCTCACTGGAGAGAGGAAGGAAAAGTACTAGATGGGGAAACAAAGGTGACATAAAAATCAAGGGACAGCCATAAAGATTTTGTAAAAGAAAATCAAATACAAAGTTTACAAAACAGATGAGAAATGGCAGAGTGAGGATGTGAAACCTCAAATGCGGCCCCTCTACCACCCCGCCGTGCTGCCTCTGGGGCCGAGCTGGGCCCCAACGGGAGGACTCTGCTGCTGTCTGGCTGCCACAGTTTGGAAAGGTCACTAAAGAGCTGGAGAGCGTCTGCCGGAGGCCCAGCAGGGTGGTGGATGGCTGGGAGATCACCTGAAAAAACTGGAGATGTTTGGCTGGAGAAGACCTAGGGGAGCTGAGAGCCGTCGCTAGGATCTGGGACGCTCTACTGGAGAAGAAGGGCTAGATGTCAGAATGAGCCCCAGAGGAGCTAGCGGCCCTGTAGAGAGGCTGCAGATCAAGGCTGGGGGCGAGAAGAACCTCCTAGGAAGGACAGCTGCCCCAGAGCGGCCTCAGCTGCTTTTCAGGGTGGTGGCTTCCTTCTCCCTCAAGGTCTTTAAGCAAAGGCTACACAAGAAATCCTGTTCAGGTTCGCACTGCATTCCAAAGACCTTTGAGACTGTGTGACGTGGCTGCTTCCCAACTCGCCAATGCTCCCTCCTTCCTCCACCGTCCTTCTAGATTTATCTCTGTGCATGAGGTGTCCAGTGTTCCCGGCACAGTGCCTCAGGCACAGCCGACACTTAAGAAATGCTTGTTGCAGTTGAATTTGTAAGAATGCGGCCCAAAGTGCCACCAACCAGATACCTGAGATGGCTAGAAAGTCCGTGAAGCCATCTCAGGACACCAAGCTCTTTAAAGTACACATCGTGTGCGTGCTGACTTAGCTCCATGAGGAAACGGCAGCTGGCTTTTTCCAAAGTATAAAACGTGCATTTTACCTGTTCCATGACTTCCGGTGCCATCCAGCAGGGAGTGCCCACAAAGGTCTTTCTCACTTTATTTCGGGTAATGTCACCACCAGTTGCTAAAAAAGCACTAACCCCAAAATCTGAAATAGAAGAAAAAACCACAGCATGTCAAGAGAGACCACTGACTAATCCAGGCACGGAGAGAAAACCCAAACCACAAATTAGAGTGCCACACTTTCTAAATGTGGGACTTGAAGAGAATTTGTCAAACATCTATGCTGGAAGTATTAGTTTTCAAAATAGCCAGAAGTGAATCCCCAACACTTTAGAATTCACTCACCTACTGAGTCGCCATCTACTTTCTGCCTGGTTTCCCTGACTCACGAGCTTGCTGCCCCTTTCACTCTGTCCTGAACGCTACTTCCAGCTTCAATTCCCCAAACAAGTGCCATCCAAAGCTCCCCATTACCTATGGGATCGAGGCCAAACTCTCCAGCCTGCCAGCAGGACCCTCAGAAATCTCACTCCACTCGCCACCACCTTTCCAACTCCACTCCTTCCCAACAGGAATCCTGCTCTCACCATCCCACTCAGTTCAACCTTTTATTTCAGCTTTGCTTCTTCTTACCAAACCAAATCCTAATCATCCCTAAAAGCCCAGCTCAGGGCCACTCCCTCAGAGAAGCCCTTTCTAAATCCCTTGGACCCCACTTACTATCCCCTCTGCTGACCTCTTAACACACGTGCTGTTGCCACCACTCAAGTTGAGGACTTTATCCTGTGCTGTGATTCCAATGTTTCCCTCCTCCACTACTCTGCCAGTTCCGGGGGAACAGAGCCAAGGCCTCACGATCTGTGGTCTCCCATAGCATCGAGCCAAGGCAAGCACCCAGCAGGGACTGGAGCACTTTCTTTAAAAATGAACAAACCAAAGAGATTTTCTAGGGAGTCTTAAAACACTAATGAAACCTTCAACAACTTAAAAAGAAAGAAGAAAGAACAATTGTGCTTCCAAAGAAAATAGCAACGTAATCAAAGTGTGACCAAAAATATGCTTCTAATACCGAAAAGTGTTTCCAGAGTAATGAGAACTGCATCAGCACAAGCAACGCAGCCCAGCCCTACTCTCCTGCCCACGCGGCCCCAAAGCAGATGCTGCCTCTGCTCAGGACCCTCATCCCTGTGATTTCCCCACACATTCTGCCCACGTGAAGCACAGAGGAGAAAGTACCCCACCCGGCTTTAGAAATGAAAGCAACAAGTTTACTGATGAGATCAGATCATCTTCCACCCGACCCACTCAACCAAGCAGAACACCGGCTTTGGCCGTGAGACGATTAACTACGGGACAGACAAAGCAAAGCAATGAAGCAGATCTCTTTCTCCCTCAGCTGCATTTCACATTTTAGGGCAACGTTCACAAGAAGTTTCACCTTAATCAAAAGGAGGCAACCCTGAACAAAGTTAAAATTGGCAAAAATACCTGAATCTATTTCTTGCTCTGCAGTTTTAACTTGTTCTACCTATAAGGTGTGTGCCAGGCTGCCTAAAGAGGGGCAAGTGGCCCATGTCAGAAACAGAGCCAAAGTTTCCATGCCAATGAGCAGCTGGGGACTGGTGAATGGCTGCTCATGGTAAATGTCGATCTGAACGGGGGTGGGGGTGGGGTGGAGGGGGTTTCCTTCAGAAGGAGCTCATTATGCCAAATAAAAGCACAAAACCTAAAAAAAAAAAGAAAGAAAAAAAGAAAAGCTCCCAATACTCAAAGAATGAAAGTTTTAAATACACTGTAAAATTCCAATTACAGCTCAGCTCTGTCTTCTTCTCATTGAAATCTCCTTTTGACTATTATGTGTCTAGAGAATAGGCTCAACACTAATTAAACACTAATGTTTGAATTTCAAAATAGTTATGATACAAACCAATCAAAAAACATTTAAGTACCTACTATGTGCCAGGCCCTATGCTAAGCACTACGTAGCCTTGTCTGTGTCTAACTGGAAAAGACCATTTACCACAATAAAGACATCGTCTAGTTTCAGTAGGGATAGCTTTTTTTTTTCTTTTTTCTTTCTTTCTTTTTTTTTTGGTAGGCAATAGAGGTTAAGTGACTTGCCCAAGGTCACACAGCTAGTAAGCGTCAAGTTTCTGAGGCTGGACCTTAACTCAGGTGCTCCTGACTCCAGGACCAGTGCTCTATCCACTGCGCCACCTAGCTGCCCCTAAGATAGCTTTAATAATAATAAAAATGTAATTAGGCATAAAGTTAGTATTCAGGAAATGAAATAACTGGGAACACTGAAAAGAGCAATTGGCCTAACCTCACAGAGAATAATACTGACATCCTGGAGGGCAGCTCTGCTTTAATGCTTACAGAATACTCTTCTTACCACAACCCCATGCTAGTAATGATGACACTCCCATTTTATAGATAAGGAAACTGAGGTACAGAACAATTATGTGATTTTCCAGGGTCATATAGTGTCAATCTGGAGATCAAACCCAGGTGTCCTGAGTTTAGTGTGTACCCAATGATTCCACACTGAAAGTCCAGAGGAAAATCAAGACAGTGACACTTTATTATTATTATGTATAGTTTTTTTAGTTGTTACTTTGAACAACAAAATTTGTCACCTCAACGCTCCTACCCTCAATTCCATGAAGAATACAGAATATCTTTTTGTTTCATTCCTTCAAAGCCAAATCTACAGGCACTAAAACTAACATGCAACTTAATAGATATTTTTAAAGTTTGGAGAGTCTTAGAATAATGTCAATATAGAACTGATGAGCACCAAGTCACGGAAAAAACAGCATCAGAATGCTTCCGTCTATACCAATCCTTACCATGACCATCATTTAACTGAAAGTGAATGCCCACTGCGGACAGGAACAAAGAATTGTCAACTATGAGCAATAGCAACCACATCAAAGGTGACTCCGACTCGCTAAAAAGAGAAATGCAAGGGCACAGAGGGAGAGAAATAAGTGCCCACTAGAAGCCTACTCCTCACCATTAGGAAATCTCGGAGAAGAGTTTGTGCTTGCCTGCAGAGTGCTTTTGCTGAAAAGGAGAAGGGCAGGCTTGCCGAGAAGGTTCCAGCAGCAGACTACCTACCAAGTCACAGAGTTGACTGAGAAATCAAAAGAACGCAGGATTTGGTTATGTCTTAACAAGTAACTACAAAAAAGGATGACCCAACTGAGTAAAGTCCAGCTTTGAAATCCTTCCTGTCTTCCAAGCAGAGATTCAGAAACTATACAAGATTCTGTGACAGATCTGATAAGATACTGAACTTTGCTAGATGATCTGAGGGGTGATATCAAATAAGGCTGAAATGGAAAGGCTTGTGCTCAAAAGTATTTTTCGGGGTCATGAAAGATACCAGTACAAAGTCCATATGGCAGAGGGATTCCCTGTGGCTGGCCAGGTTTCCCAGAGCTTCCCAATCTGACTGTGCTGAATCAGGGGGTGGGGCAGGGGACAAAGGACTGGGCCTGGAGTCAGCAAGACCTGAATTGAGAGCTTCCATGTGTGAGAGGAAGTCTGGAAAAGAAAAATTCAGTTGTGGGGATCTGACTCCAACGCAGTTTCTTCTCAACTGAGAGGTGAATTCACAGCCGTGATTATCTGAATCTCATCAGAAACACCCGGCAGCAGCACAACCAGCCGCTTCCACCACAAATTCTGACAAGCTGAATTATTTTCAATCACCATGACAGTTCGGCTAAATCTAAGCTTTTTAAAGGACAAAAATGCTCATAAAATGAGTGCAAATAAGGAAACTATTCAGCCACAACTCCCATCCAAACATTTCATGACTAAAACACAAAAACATGTAACATGTTTCTGCACAAAAATGACTTAGTGAGAAGTTTAATGGTACCATGACATTTTAACATCTCACTGTCAAAAATAACTAGGCTTAGCATTGTAATCTATTCCTAAGGCTTTACTCGGGGTTGTTATTTTTATCTACACAATGAACCTAGAAAGCTACACGGTAAACTTTCAGAAGGTATAAAATGTTGAGTGATGACTTGCCCAAAAATTACTTAAAAAATACAAAGGTAGCCAATGAAAATAAAGGCTCGTGTGGTGGAAATAGAGACAGAAGTACTTGGGGGGCGGGGCCGAGATTAGAAAGGAAGGGAACAAGAACTTATTAAGCACCTACTAAGTGCTTATAATTTTTCTCTCATTTGACCCTCACAAGAACCATGGAGATAGGTGCTACTCTTATTCCCATTTTACAGCTAAGAAAACAGAGGCAGCCAGTAGTGAAGTGACTTGCCCAGAGTCATATATTTATTAAGTGTCTAAAGCCAGATTTGAATCAGGTCCAGCTCTCTGTCCTCTGTGCCATCAGCTGCCTCTAAACTGAAGGATAAATGTCAGAAGAGGAGAAACGCTGAGTAACTCAGGTACTGGAAGGTGTGAAAAGAACTATGTGGACTCCATGGTTAAGGGACCTGGGTTGGCCTTGAAAGCTTATCCCTAGTGCAGAGAACAGAGCCTTAATGCTACAAAGCCAGAAGCTTAATGAATGAAGTCACAGCAAGAAATGAACTTACTGAGCAGGAAAGACACAGACGGGAGAGCCCAAGTAAAGCAAAGCAACATGGTGGCTTGGGAGGGGCAAAGCCCATCAGAGAGCATTCTGGGAAGCTTTCTCTCCTAAGTGGAATTAATTATTATTAATGACAACATGTCATGATAGAGATCCTCTGCTATGTGAACATATACTGATGTTAGATACTATAATATTTATAAGCTAGTCTCCAAACTGCACCAAGACTTTGGGGACCCCCCCCCCCAAGCTCCATCACCACTCAGTGGCCCTGATAACAGATGAGTCGTGCACCTGCGATGCTGGGAGGAGTTCCCAACCAACCCAAAAGCATTTATTATGCACCTCGGTGCCAGGCACTGTGACAGGCCTCATGGAGACAAAAACACAGACTCCACCAACCCCTATTCTGGAGAAGCTTCCATTCCACGAGGGGAGCCAATATGTGCATAAATGAGCACAAAATAAACACCAGATAACTGAGGAGGAGGGTGGTCGAGGGAGGGCACCAGCAGCTGGGGAAAGCAGGAAGAGCCTCCTGCAGAAGAGGCATGCCAGCAGAAATTTTTAGGAAGAGAGGGGTTCTACCATTCTGCTACCTAAAGTGATAAAAGGATGCATCCAATCATGGGGCACAGCTAGTGTGAAGGCACAGACACAAGGGAGGCCGCAGTCTGAGGAGGCCACAGAGCATGTGGAGGAATGGAAAGTTGTAAAGGCTTTTAAAAACTAAACAGAGGAGTTCACATAGGACCCTAGAAGCAATAAGGGGCAAAGAGAGTTTTCTGAGTAGGAGTGACAAGGTCAGAGCTGCACTGAAGGAAAACCACGTAGGCCACTGGGCGGTGGAAGGAGCAGAGAGCCTTGAGGCAACAAGGCCAATTAGGAGGCCACTGCACTGGTTAGGTGAGAGGTGACATGAGATGAACCAAGTGGGAAGCTAAGGGAGCTTAATGAAGGGGCTGGAGGTCAGGTCAACAGAGATAAACAGATTTCAATTCTGAAGATATTACTTCAACTCAGTACAATACAAACTGAAGGATGATGCACAATTTGCACTTGCCAAACCAAAAGATTCCCTTCTGCCACTCACTCTGGGTTTCTCTGTTTTAAATTTTAAACACAAACAAAGATTCCAAGTGGTCACATCAAAGGCCAGAACTGAAGGGTCTTCAGTCCTGTTTCTACATCTTTACAATCACTATTTCTAATCGACTCTTTAAATGCAGGAATGTTGTACCACAGCAGCTGGAAACCTGAACTACAGCGTGAACAAGGCCAAACTGGTACAAACTTACTCTCAAAGTGAATCCTCAGAGTCATGTGAGTTGGGAACCATCTGTGTAATTGGGAGTTCTCTGAACTAGAATGTTTACTATTTTTAATTCCCTGTAGACACCAGCCCTTCCCATTGCCTGCAGTGGGCGGCAGCTCGCCCCACTTCCCCCTCCAGTCTGGCTAGCTGACACTCTCATGGGTCTGTCCTATCACTGATGAAGACCAGGAGCGACAAAATCTAGAAAAACGGATCTTTGTGGTTACATGTTGACTCAGAAAACCACAAATGGACTTTATCTGTGTTGTGCTCTGTTTTTGTTTATTGGGCTAAGCCTTTCCCAATCACATCTGGGAGTTTTCTGGGCTCCTCCAATGTAGATAATGGCTCCTTCCGCACAGACCACAATCTATTCCTACTTTTTCTCCCTAACAGTTTTCCTCCACGCTCTTCTACAGATCACTCACAGACATCCCACCCAGTACAATCAAATACCCCCTTAAGATCTGTCTACACTGGAACAGAACGAAGGGAGCGCTCAAACTGTCATGGGTACTGCATGAGTGACCCACTTCCTTTTAAAATCATCCATTTCCAAAAACAAAACAAAACAAAACAAAACAAAGCAGGAGCAGCTAGGGGGTGCAGTGGATAGAGCTCCGGCCTTGGAGTCAGGAGGACCTGAGTTCAAATCTGACTTCAGACACTTGACACTTACTAGCTGTGTGACCCTGGGCAAGTCACTTAACCCCGATTGCCTCACCAAAAAAAAAACCCCCAAATCATCCATTTCCTCAATGACCTGACAGACAATATGGCCTTGTGGAAAAAGAGCTGTGTTTGCAGTCAGAAAGGCTGAGGTTCAAATGTCTCTCCTGACACCAATTAGCTACATGACCTTGGGAAAAACACTGAATGTCAACATACCTGAGAAGGTACTTTCCAAGCTGCGAAGCTTGCCAAGGATTCTATATGTTTGTACTTTTCTAGTCCCTCCCCTGCCCCAACAGAACATAAGCTCCCTGAAGGCAGGAACTAGTTTTGATTTCATCTTTGTATATCTCCGGTTGAATACAGCGTCTGGCACCTACTAGGTGCTTAAAAATCCTTGTGGAGTGAACAGTCGATCAACCAACAAGCACTGAGTAGTAACAGCTCCCGAAGTACAGGCACTGTACCAGGTCCTGGGATCACAAAGACTACAAAGCCCTTGAGAAGCTTACACTCTGTCAGATGTGAGCATGACTAAGTGGGCACAGAGTTCTACAAAATGCTGATGAAATCATCAGCGTTCGGTCTGCTCCTGGGTAAGGCCACTAATCAGAATGTCACCTCCTCAAGAAAGTGCCAGATAGGATTACACCAGATCGTGTATTCTGCATCTTAAACTTCCTTCTAGTTAGGGCATAAAGCTGACTCCCCTGGAGAAGACCTAGACAAGATTACAGTCCATGTAAACAAGTAAAAAAACTGCATGGCAGGGCTGTCTGAAAAAGCAGCCAAGAAGAGAATGTGGAAAAAAAGAAAGAAGATACAAGCTTGACAAAAGAACTCAGCAGATGGAGTGGAATCTACTGTGGGTTTACTGAAAATCAAACAAGTGCTTCAGGGAACTCTTTAGGGCAATGAGCCGGCACGGTAGGAAGAGCACCAGGCTGGCACGCAGCCCCAGCTCTACTGACCTGGAGATGTCAAGACGTGGTCCATAGATCCAACCCTTCATTTTACAGATGAGCACCCAGAGGCAGCTCTGTGGAGGCCTGACTGCCCAAGCTCAGAGGCAGTGGGAAATGAAGCCGCACGGCTCCTGCAGGTCCAAATGCAGCGTCTCTGCCCCGCTGCCCTAGAGTCTCGTCCTATCTCTGCCACCCTCGTCATGTTACTCATTGAATCACTTCATGGGGGACTCAGGCTCCTCACCCACAAAACGGGGGCAATCAGCTGGAGAGTTTCAAACCCAAGACTTATAAAGAACGAGAGGTCACCTCCTCTGCCTCCAAGGAGTTAGACCTACAGTCACAAAGTGAGCGCAGACTCTCAGCTCAGACACACCTAACCCTCCCAGAGCCTCAGCTTCCTCAACTATAAGATGGGAATAACAAAATAACAATCCTAGAAATCCCTACCTCAGAAAGCAAAGTGCACTACAAATGGGGGTCATCAGCATCATTAAAGAGCGCCCGTGGAGAACCTCAAGACAGCCAGCAGTGTCTGCAGGCAACATTCTCCTCCAAGACTGAACATTCAAGAGTCTGCCAGTCACCCCTGTCCAGTTGTACTGACCAAACGGCCCAGGTAAAGTCCACTGCTCAGGAGACGCCTGAGCTACTTCTGCTCACAGAGGAGGATGAAATGGAAGCGTTGATGAGGAGATGCAAGTAGCTTGTCATTAGCTAACTCAGGGTTTGCAATTCTCCTTGAGCCAAGATTCAAAGTCAGAAATAAACGTGCTGAACGTACCACTGCAATAGTGGAGAGGAGTTTTAACCACACAGCACAAATTCAGACCTTGCTGCTAAAGCAAGTCTGTCAGATGTCGCCCCAGCAGAACACCACCAGCTGTTAAGTTAAAAGGCCTTAATTCCACTGCACATCCTTCCTCCTACAACATGACGGCAAGGCTGGTGCCAGCAGTAGCCTCTGGTGCCTTTCATTTTTGCCTAATTCCGGGTCCTCCCTCCACTGCAAGGTTTCTTAAAACTTACTTGTGTCATGGACTCACTGGCAGTTTGCCGAAGCCTATGAATGCCTTCTCAAATGGTTCTCAAAGGCATAAAATAAAATATTTATAAAGCACTATATAAATGCCAGCTTTGGTTATTACTATTATTGTATTATATATTATTAACACCTGGAAGACCTCGTCATCTCTAAGGGCATCTGTCTTACACTTGGTTCTGTTTCCACCACGGTGGAAAGCACCCATGGTGATCACCCAACTGGCTGTCTTCCACCTCACTTGAGTGTCGGGCAAATGATCACTTTTTATAAAGCTAAAAAGTGAGGCTGTATCTAATTCCAGTTTTGTCCTCCCAGATAGGTGGTGGTGGCAGGAACTTCCTATGGCTTTCCACATCTCTATTTAGATTCAGATTCAGAAGTATCTAATTTACCATCATGCCAGGAGTCCCTGCTTAAACACATTCCTGAGTGATAAAGGAATAGCAGCAAAATCACCTCCCATTGATCTAGGGCCTTCAGGTCTAGAGGGTATTTGCGACACAACAATCTTGGAAGAGAAGCAATGCAGGATTACTCCTCGCATCTCAGACAAAAGGAAACTCAGACACAGACAGTCAGGAGAGGAGACCGTGCCCACGGCAGCCCAAGTCGAGAATCAGACCCAGGAGTTGAGGCCCAGGGTCCTGCCTCTGACCACTGCACCATGCTGCCTATAGAACTGCAGGATACCCATCCACTCTCCCCAAACTTCCATGTGACACAGGTAAGAGGATGTGAAGAGACGAAAGTGCCATAAGACACAAAACTGACCCCCCACAAACATGGAAACCCATGGGAACCAGGAGGCCAAGCCCTGCCTCCGTTTTCCTGGTGCCTGAACCCCAATCCAAAGAGTGATGGAACCATAATGAAAAGCTGCTTTGTTAGCACCCAGGCAAAATACTGGGTCACAAACACTAAACATTCCAGCTTCAGCTTCTTTCCAAGAGGGAGGAGGATGCATTACCTGCAATCTGCACCGAGCCATCTTCACCCAGAAGAATATTTCCAGCTTTGACATCCCTAGATGAATAAACAACACAAATAAATGCTGCATGCCCCATTCAAAACAGACAACCCTGCCACCCCCCGCAACAATCCAGCTTTATCTTTCAGATTATTTCATATTTTAAATGACCTGTGTGATTTCTACCCTGAAGAGCTCAAGTGGGTTTTTTTTTTTTTTCACAAAGACAGAAGGGCGAAAAAAACTGGAAAACTCAGTTTTCAGTCACATTTGCTAGGATAAGGCAAACGGAGGCCTGTGTGGCTAGCTCCCAGAATGTATAGGAGAAAGGAAAGAGAGGACAGGGTCAGGCTGGCAAAGGCTTTCCGGGCCAAGCAGGGGACTTCAGGCTGGCTTCTGTAGACGACAAGCAGCCAGAGGAGTTTACCAAGGCGGATGAGAGTGGGAGGGGTACGAGACACAGTCAGACCTGAGCTTGAGGAAATCACTCTGGCAGCTAAGCAGAAGCTGGATGGAGCAGGAAGAGAAGGGAAGTCTGGAGAACAAGGAGAAGGCCATTGAAACCATCCAGGCGAGAGGGGATGAGGGCCTGCCCTGGAGGGAGTGCCCATGTGAGTGCAGCAGGACAAGCAAAAACCAACCAGCCTGGCCAACAACCTGGACTGATGGGGCAGTCAAGTCAGTGAGCCTTTATCAAACCACTATGTGCCAGCCACTGGCAGTTAAGGTGGTGCAGTGGATAGTGCCCTGGGCCTAGAGTCAGGAAGACCCAAGTGCAAATTCTGCCTCAGACACAAACTAGCTGTGTGACATTGGGTAAATCACTTCACCTTCTCTTTGCCTCAGTTTCTTCAACTGTACAATGGGGATAACAACAGTACTTGCTTCCCAGGGTTGTTGTGAGGATCAAATGTAATAATATTGTGAAGTGCTTGGCACACAATAAGCATGTAAAAAATGCTTGTTCCCTCCTTTTCTAAGCATGGGGGACATAAAGAAAGGTTAAAAAAAGTCTAGTCCCTGATCTCAAAGAGCTCAGAGTCTAAAGGGAAGACAGCATGTTTACAATTATGGTCAAACTCAAGACATAAACAGGATACATTTGAGCTAATCAATGGAGGGAAGGCACGACCATCAAAGAGGCCTGAGCTTCTTGCAGAAGCTGGGAATTGAGCTGGACCTGAGCTGGACCTGAAGTGGGGATGAGGAGGAAGAGTGTGAGCGAGGAGCCCCAGAGGGGACCGCGGCTGTGAGCGGGGGTGACTGGGGGCTGGGTGTGGCCTTGAGAGCGACAGGAGAGTTGGGAGGAAAAACAACCTATCCCGTTCGGAGTCTGACATGTCCCCCAGACTCCCAGGCTGAGCTACCCAAAAGCCAGGTGCGTAGGGCTAGCGCTCAGGTGAGGGGCTGACCACTTCTGTCTGAGAATATCCAATTAAGTAGAAATACTCCAAGATTGCCTGGCTTCAATGAAGGCTCACAGCACGTCTGTGGTGCAGGTAAAGGAGAGGGCAGGTACAAAGCAATAAGCAAACGGTCCTGGGAATTCAGGAGCAGGGGCCGGCTTCACCAGAATTTCTCCTTTGTATGAATATACATACAGATGGCTTCATATCCTAAACCAGGGGATTTGGCTGATTAAATGACAATTATGATGGCTTTGTGATAATTAAAGGATGGAGAAGCTCAGCCCAGGAAGGGGTTAGCTTTAACCCTAATCTTTCATTAGTGTACGCTGGAAATCACCTTCCTGTATTTCTGTTTCCTGAGCATTGATTACAGATAGACCACACCTAACACTCTTCACTGGCCCCAGAAACTACAACTAGGTTAAAACACCACCCTAGAGGTCAGTTAGGTCTATTCAAACAATTTAACAAGTTAGAGAAATGTTTTTTAGGTGGCTAATCTCTGGCCTACAAAAGTTTAAAATGGGAGGAGAGGTGTGAGGAAGAGGAAGAAAGTAGTGAGGAAGGAGGAGAAGAGGGATAAGGGAAAACGGGGTAGGAGACGTAGGCAAAGAGAGCTGAAAAAGAAAGGGAAGTGGGGAACCTCTCTCTTGCCCCCAACCATCCCATCAGCTGGCATCTCTTTTCTGACTGGAGACCTGCCATTGTCCACTAGAGGGCAGAGGGATGGCCTCAGGGGAGAAGGCCAACCTCCGGCAGTGGGGTGATATAGCAAGTTTGGCCCCAAGAGGTACAGGTTTGGCTTTAAGACAACTGCGGAAATATGTTGGTTGAGACATTGCTGGGGGTCACAGAAGAGGGAAGGATGGGAAGCTGCCATCTCCTTCTCTTTTACTTTACCGGTGGATTTGTCCATTTTTATGCAGATACTCCAGGCCCTCCAGAACCTCTTTGAGAATCGTGGCAATGCAGGCCTCATCCAGGACTCCACTTTTGTGTTCCCCCTTGGCAACAATGTGCTTAATAATATCCAGAACAGACCCTGAAGACAGAAGACATTTCACCATTAGCTTTCAACACTGTTACTGGCACAATGCAGAGCTATCTGCAGTCAAGACGTGCTGAAGTCATTTCTACTTTACTTTTTAAATTCAATTCCTGAGGAGTTAGAAGACCATGACAGAAAGAAGTACAGACACTCCAAACCAATAATATATTTTCAAATGAAATCTGCCACAGAAGGCAAATATAAAAATGGCTCCCTTTTAGGAAAGCTGGGGAGAGGGGAGTGTTTGGGAGGAAAATTAATGACTTTTGTTTGGAATATGAAATGTCTACAGGATACCCAGTCCAGGCTATCCAAAAGCCAGGCAGGTGGGACTAGAGCTCAGGAGAGAGGGCTGACCATTTACATTCGAGAGTACCTGATTAGGTAAAAATACTCAAAGACTAACAATGTTAAGTTCTGTTGTGTATGTAGAGATCAGTTACAAGACAGTCCCTGAGAAGTATGAACCTATGAGGCATACATACAAGTGGAAATGGATCTGAGCTTTTCACAGAGATATGGTTGTACCAGCGGTGCCCAGTGACAACAATCCAGCCCTCAAAAAGACTTCACCTTAAAGACTCCCTCCAGCTCTGCTAAGAGCGTCCCAAATCAAGGTCCTCCTTGTAGGCTGGTTTTGCAGGAGAAGTCATTGTTCTAGGAGCCACTGGGTGGCGCCATAGTGCCTGGAGGCAGAAAGACTCATCCTCCTGAGTTCAAATCCGGCCTCAGACACCTATTAGCTATGTGACCCTGGGCAAGTCACTTCACTCTTTTTTGGGGGGTTTGCTTCAGTTTCCTCATCTGTAAACTGAGCTGGAGAAGGAAATGGCAAACCACTCCACATCTTTGCCAAGAAAACCCCAAATGGGGTCATGAAGCGTCAGACCCGACTGACAACTCGCTGTTTTAAGGACTGACATAGGAAAAGAACCACCACCAAGGAATGCTGACTGGGTCAAAGTAAAGAAAAGGATCAAGTAAAAACTCCATCTGCAAAAGACTCCAAGAATTTAGAGTCTTTGAAGCATCTCTAACTCCAAAAGGGACGCAGAAGAATGGGAGGTGGGGTGGACAGGGAGAGTCATACAGAATTAAACTGAAAAGCAGGCAGGTTTTTTTTAAGGAAACAAAAGCAAATCTTACAGTAATTCCCTGGACCTTGGAAGCCACATAATCCAGTCTCCCCATCGTAGAGGGGAGGGCTAGAGCCCAGAAAAGCAAAGTGACTTGAGTGGTCGCAGAGAGGGTAAGTGCTGATCCCAAACACAGATTCCATTTGGCAAAGGCCTTTAATGTCATCTTGTTCAACTGTTGGAGAAAGCGGGACTTCTCAGATGTGAAATTCTAGTTCCTCAGGGAAGGGTATATTTGCAAAACCAGATGCCCACTCATAAAAAGCAGACCACTGAGACAATGTCAAGGGGCCTTTTTAAAGTAGAAACGTCTGCTCATGAGTCTTAAGAGTCACCATAAATGCACACCTGAGAGCGACGGTCAGTGTTCCATTAGTAAGCACAACACAGGCTAACCCGAGGGACCAGCTCTGAACAGCAAATCACCTTTTTGCACGATGCTACTGCTCCAAACTCGTAAGTAGAAAAGTCATGGAGTTAGCGGGGAAAGATGTAACACGAGCATGAACAAAAGCAGTCGAGTGCACCCCAAAGACAGCCACGCCCCACACAGACCCCCAAGGGTCTTTCAACACTCCAAAGTGCCTTTTGTGGCTAAGATCCAGCCCTGGCCCAGGCCCTCACTGAGCTCCGTCATTAGCTTTCCTCTCTCCTCTCATCCCCTGACTGGGGTCTCACTTGAGGAAAAATGATCAGCCTCACAGTTACAGATGAGAAGAGAAAAATTAACCGCCAGGGTGATTCCTCTCTTACCCCAAAAAGTCACACCTTCAAGAGGCTGCCAAAGAAGTGACATAAAGACAAACACAATATTTATCTAAACACCCAAGAGTTTCAGATGAGATTTTCAATACTGAATATGGGAGGCAGCAGGGCGTAGGTGAAGGAACATAAGGGGTGAACTCGTGCTCTGCCAGAATAGAAAAGAAAAGGGCAAACCAGACCCATTCCACTGCGGCATGCACGCTGTCACACACTCATCCTCGCTCACTCACCACGAATGCCTCTAAATGGGAGCCCAAGTTTAGAAGACCTGGCTTCTGGGATACTTGCTAGTGTGGAACCTCAAACAAGCCATATGTTCGTAGAAAAGATGAAATGTTTCATTTCCAGAGCAGGAAAGTGAAGCAGACAGAAGCTATCACCCGAGGCCCAGCCCACCTTTCACTCCATGGTACTGCCACTCACTGCTTTAGTCTTGGTTTCAACTACCAGCTAGATAACACCACCAGAAAATGCTGACCTCACTTGGTGTTATTCTGAAGATCAAATGAGCCAAGGGGAGACTGCGCCTTGAGCAAATAACCAATTGCTAGATACAAATATCAGCTGCACGTCACCCTCCCTTTCGAAACATTCTCTCACGTTTGAGACTCTCGCCTGTATCCAGGAGGAGTCACTGAGCATTTCAAGGCCTCCTTCCTCTCTCCTCTCAAATGCCTCCTCCATCCCCCCCCCCCCATCCCTGCCAGTGTTATTTTCCTAACAAACAAGCCCAACCACCTCCCTTCCCTACTCAGACCCCTTCGGAGGGTCCCCACCACCTGCAGAATAAATACAAGCTTCTCACCTCTCTATGGGTGACCTTCCATGGGGCACCCACCTCTCCGGATCCCAGTGTCCTCATCTATAAAAGCAGACCTGGGAGATCTCCTCCAGCCCTAAATCTATGACCCATCTCTGGCATTCAAGAACTTGAATCCCCAAGTCTGGATCCAAACTCTCTTCACACGCACTTTGTTTCAGACAGCTGAATGAGGCTGTCCTGGCTTCTCCCGTATCTGGAACAGATTCTCACTGCAGTTCCACCTGCTGAAATCCCTGCCATCCTCCACGGCCTAGATGCCGATGCCATCTCTTCTAGAGAACTTTTCTTCCTCTTCCCCTCCCCCACAATCTAGGCAGAGGTGATGCTGTCACTTTCTTCAGATGCCTTCTGTCTCTGCCTGTCTCCTCCTAAGCAAAGCACTTGATGACCCGAAGGTCCCTGCCGGTTCTAAATCCTTTCGCCTCAGAGCCTAGCGTCACTGACAGCTTGTATAATTATTTAGGTATGTGTTCCACCTCCTACTAGACTATTTATTCATGAGGGCAGTCACTCTCATTCTTTCCAATGCTAATAAACCTTGCCCAGAGCAGAGGCTTAATCAAGATCTGTTGAAATGTTACACAGAAAGTGCGCTCAGGAGAGCATGCTTGAAAAGAGAAATCCCAAAGGATGATAAATCTTGAACTGCAGGGACCATGATAACCATCCAACCTCCTTATTTTACAGGTGAGTAAACTGAGGCCCAGAAATGCCAGGTAACTTGCCTGGGTTCCGGCAGGTAGTGAGTGGGTGGGCAGCACAATGCCCAATCATTTGACTCAAAATAAAGAGTTCTCTGCACTGTCCCACAAGATCACAGAATGGGATATGATATGATAAAGATCTCAGCATTCCTCCCCAAGGCCCCTCGAGGGCTGCAGAACCAGATTAAAACGTAACTGGGAAATGTTTAACAAGATAAGGAAGAATACAGTATGGTGCAAATAATATTAATTTGTGGTTTTCTAAGTCAACATCCACTGGAGGGATCTATTTCTTGACAGTAATGCTCTAGTCCAAATTTCCCTCAGTACAGGATTTATTTCTATAATATTGCTGATAAGTAGCCATACATGGGGTGGAGCCAAGATGGCAGAGTAGAAGGAGGCAATGTGGCTGAACTCCCCCCTACAAATCCTCCAAACAAATCTAGACAGAGTACCAGACTGAGCTCTGATGGAGAAATCCAGAAAAAGTCACAGTAAGTCCTTTGTACAGCCCAGGTCAGCATCAGGAGAGAGATAGAGAGGTCTGCAGACATTGAGGACAGGGTCTGGCCAGGCATATTGAGCAGGCCTCAGTCCCATGGGGGCACCCCCAAACCCACACCAGGACACTGCTACAGGGACAGGTGCCCACTACCCAGTCCCAGATGGCATAGCCAGACCTGCCACACTCAGGGAGGTCTGGGGCAGTATACCAAAAAAAAGGAGGAAGTTCAGAAGCTGGCTTCACTCAGCAGTGGTGGCGGCAGCGGCAGCAGCAGCAGCCCTGTGGCTCAGCCCTCAGGCTCAGCCCTCAGGCTCAAAGCAGGGTCTCACTGCCACTCTCTGCCCTAGGCTACAGAGATAAATAAGCAAGGCAGGATACACAGGCCAAAGGGGAGCCTATGACCGGGCCACTTGGAACCATGAGTTTCCAGCAGGCTGATAGAAGCAGAGTGTAGCAGCATCTACCCTTGCTCTGACCCAAATTCGTCAAGAACCTGAAGAGCTGAGAGCAGGGGCCAGCGATCAGACTCTACCCTGGATCGAACCACTCTGGGACCACTGAGAGCTTGTAGGTCCCCAGTTTGTTCCTGAGATCCTTGAATAACAGCATACCTAATACTCGCCCCCCCAAAACAAAGCAGCAAGAGGACCACCCCAGGACTTTCCTTCAGAAGCGTGGCAGAGCCCAGCCCTAACATCAAGTCCAAAGTCAGGACACAGGCTGGAGAACGGGTAAACAAAAAAGAACTGCACCACAGTGAACTATTATGGTGGTGGGGGCACTCAAGAAACAAATGCAGAAGAAGAGAGTGACTCCCAAACACCTACAAGCAAAGCCTAAGAGAAAAACACAGCTTGGGCACAAACTTAAGTAGAATTCTTGAAACAGATGAAGCAAAAGTTAACAAAAAAAGAGGTAAAAATATTTTTATAAATGGAATAAAAGATACTTGAGGAAAAAACTGGAAAAGAAAAACTATGAAATAAGATTTAGAAAGGGAATTAACAACTTGGTACAACAGGTACAAAACCTTTCCAAACCAACAAACTCCCTGAAAA